AACTCCCATGCGTGCCTGTGACGATTCCCCCACTTGAGTTGTAGCAGGAATCTCGACCTCACCTACTCGACGTGGAGGTGGTTGGCCTGCCGTTTGAGGCGACAAGTTCTCTTGCCGTGGTTGGCCATTCCGACCACCGGTGGGAGAAAGAACATTATTAGTAGGCGTTAGGCCTGTGCCATCTAATGGCAAAGCTCTTGACTGCCCTACTGGTCTAGTTAGAGTTTGTCGAAACTGATCCAACTCATTTGTGTTTTTGTTAACCACCTCAAATAATTGACTGAAACGTCTATCAATGCGAGAATTGAGACAGTCCATTTGAGAATTTACCTGATGTGTACTGGCCCGAGTCTCCTCCATCATGCGGCGGTTCTCCACCAGCATTTGGCGGTTCTCCTCCGTGGCTCGAAGGTTGTCAGTCACCATCTTGCGGTTCTCTTCTGTAGCTTGACGGTTCTCTGCCACCATCTTACGGTTCTCCTCCATCATCTGACGAAGGGCCCCCACTGCTTCGCCGAGATCTCCACCAGGCGCGGTCGCCACCAAGATCTCTGCTCCACCGTTTCCTCCGGTCACCGCGTCGGACGCTTGGCCATGCTCGATGTTGGCCACCTGCTCCTCCACGAATCCAGCCGGAACGTCACCTTCATGGTTCCTCCGCCTCGGAGCCATTGAATCGACCACAAGGGTCCCACCAGGTGTGCCAAATTTGTTCTCCGGCGAGAAAACTTGAGTTGAAATCGAATTGAATGCACCTTGACTTCTTTGGACAACGATCACTAAGACACGGTTCACACCTCTTCAAACACAGTTCGAACGAGGGTGATCGATGTTTACACGACTCTCGAGACAGATCTACATTAAGTTACTCCTACTCCTATGGAGGTTCTGAGAGAGCTCCAGATCTACTACTACGGCTAAAATTGCAGAGGAAAGGATAAAGGGATAAAATTTGACATTGCTTTGTCTGGTGTGAATTTGGCGACCCCCTTCTCTGACAACTCTTCCTCCTATTTATAGGCTTGAGGTGATAACCGTCGTAGAAAACTGTCTGGAGAGTAACTTGCAAAAAGAACCGCTTCCCTTCTTTCCCGGACGTGGCTGACGTGTCCTTGAACGTGGAGTAATTGACAGTTTCTCAATCAAACCGTCGGCTCTCCCTTTTGGAACTGACGTCTTGTTACTTGCCCTTTCCTTTACCATGGCTATTCCAGATCTCGCGACAAGGCGGTTTGTCAAACATGATGACAATGCTACGAGGTGGTTTACCAAACTTGGCGCGACGAGGCGGTCTACCAAACTATACGCGAGGAGGCTTGGCGCTTAGACTTAGTAGAGGCTTGGCGGACTTGCGATGAGGTGGCCTGACACGAGGAGGCTTGGCGCTTGAACTTAGTTTATTTTGTGACCTTCTCCCCACATATCTTGTAGACTCGCGATGTGGTTTAGACAAGGCAGTTTGTCACGACAAGGCGGTCTACCAACTTGACGCGAGGAGGCTTGTCGCGATGAGGCACCAGACTTAGTTTATTCTCACGCGTCATGTCAGGCCTAATCATTTGGGCTTAAAAATCTAGTATCGTAGGCCCAGTTTAAATAACATTAATTGTTATTGTTGATCTGGCCTTATAAAGACAGTTAATGTCTTGTAAATAATCAATGTGGTACACGATTATTTTTGTAGTGTAAACAGCATGACATAGTCGACAGGTAAGCTTCTTCTCTTGCCATTGATTGTCAATGTCGTGCATCTGATTTCGTTTGGGATGGATTTCTTTTCTTCCTCTTGTGCAGTGGCGGATACATGCATGGTTAGGGGTGTCCCGGGACACCCCTAAAATTTGGAAACACGATTATTCAACCTACGTTAGTAATTTGCGTATGAGAAAAAAAATATTTAAGTGGTAGTGGGACACCTTTAAAATTTGGGAAAATGATTATCCAATCTCCCGTAGTAGTTTGAGTATTGGTATAAATAATATTTAAGTAGTAGTTTATGTGATTTAAATTTGGGACACTGCCACTATTAGTTAATATATTTTCAATTACGCTACAACTCATTTGTTATTGTGTTTTAGATCCAAATATAATAGTAAAATATTATTCTTATCTCAAATTATTTTCAAAACCTAACGATTAAACTCAATTGCGGGATATCCTAGTCTAGTAAGATATTGTCGAGAGATATTTGTTGAGCAGTATAAACACCGAATGCATTTTATCATTTGATGAAACACGTCTGAACTTTTAATGAAACTTTATTAGTTAGATATTTTCATATTTAATAATTATTTAATTTAATTCTAATATTTAATATATTTTTTTATAGAGGACACCCCTACGTAGAATTTCTGGATCCGCCACTGCTCTTGTGGGCAAGGAAAGTAGTAGTAGTTACTACAATATATATCAGGTGGTTGGCTGGAAGTTAACATATAGTGAAAGTTGGCATGATTTTGAAATATTAAGATTTATTGTAAGAGTCCCAATACTATTGAGTAGAGAAATTGGATGGATGGTGTCTGCCCATTAGTTATGTGTTTGGCACTACTAATCAGCTGGGGGGACTGGGTTGACACAATGTGATCCTGAATCGGCCATACCCTGATAGCTTTCATTTTGTATTCTTTTGTGAGATTATGTATCTGAGGCGTGGAAGAGTTCCTAACATGATTTATTTTGACTAATGACTTTCCTTTTCTCTAATTAATTGTGATATAAGAATGAGTTTATGTCTGCTGTCATTTTTTCTTTCTTGCTTTCCAGTTTGCTGTTCAGACTGTGCTCACTCCCATTTTAGAAAGTTTCCAAGAGATTTGGGAGTGACCATGCATGGTTGTTGATTATTGGTCGCCCACCATAACAACAAATCACTTTTTCAGCTTTATGTATCCTAAAGCGATTGGTGAGTCGTATGACTAAAAGTTTTTTCATTTGTATTCTTTTGAAAGATTATGTATCTGAGAGGTGGAAGAGTTCTTTGCATGGTTTATTTTGAGTAATGGGTTCCTTTTTTTTCTCATCTTGATTGTGATATCAGAAACTGATGAGGTGGGGCGATGACATCAAGTGGCAAGAGGGTAAGTCATGTCGCTCTCGTGTTGGCTTATTTTTGTCATTTTGACACATGTAATTCGAATACCCACCCATGGCCTGACAAGGGGGTCTACCCAAACTAAGGAGAAGTTATTGAGAGGGGGGCACATCTAATATCAGAGTATCATCAAAGTAGTTGAGGAGGTAACCGTCACTCCACGTTAGCTAAACAGTTTCTCAATACAGTTACTTCTGGTGCTATAAATAGAAGGTGAAATGACAGAGCAAGGGGTTCGCCAAATTCACACAAGACATCATATTGTCAAACTTTATCATTTTTCTCTTTTTCTCTGCAAATGTAGTCATAGCCATAGTTGTAATCTTGGAGCTCTCACGAACCTCCATATGAGTAGAATTAATTTAATTTAGATATGCCTCATAAATAATAAAAAAAACATTGCCATTGTTTGAATTTGATCAAATAGGTGTGAACCTTAATAGTTACCACTTAAAACATTTTTACTAAAGTCCAACAATACCCATAACCCAATAGACATTCATACAACCATTACCTGGCCAAGGGACTCAGTAGTCGGTACAAAGCTAGTACGAATGAAACTATGAAAGTAATTTTTCCGATAAGAAACAAAAGCGGTATATACGTACAACCTTTCCCGCGAATGTCTCACATGGCCCCACAAAGCCGCTACGTGGCTCCTAACTCGGCCACGCGTAGCTCTGACCTTTGACTATTCCTTCCCTCGTCCCTCTTCTCTCTCTCGCACGTCGCTCTCTGATGATTATCTCCCTACTACTGCCACTAGATTTCAGGTATGAAGCTCCACAAACGAACACATCGAATCCGGTGACCGGGAAAAGCGATTTCACCATCTCCAATCAGCGCCACCGTTTCATTGAACGCTGCTGAGCTCAGGTTTCCGACTCGTTTCCGTATCTTCGCCATTATTTTACATCCCGCCCCGTGTTTCAAATTGCTCTGTTCTGCTTCTTTTTTGTTTGGTAGCCGAGAAAGTTCAAGAGATTAAAAGCAAGATAAGGTCGTTTGAATTTTGGAACTATTGCATACGCTTAGCCGAATTCAGTTTTTGTACTTCTCTGTTTCGATCTTATTACTGAACAATATTCACAGGCAATGCAGTCAAAAGCGCGATTCTACCTAGAAGCGGAAAAGGGGTAAAAGCGTAAAGCGTAGAATCAAAGCGTAAAAGCGTAAGTTTTTGACGCATACTGAAAAAATAACTAAAATTGTATTAAGTAGGACATATGCTATGCAAAATATGAATGCACAGAGTTTAGATAAGTCAATAAATACATGCGATTCATGCCTAAAGTTGAACAACTTATAGCATCTTAATAATAAGTTTGTAAACATAAATTTTAACAAGAAGTCACTTTTCCCACTATACTAATGAATTTGGGAAAAGCCTAACGGGTGAATTAGATTACTCTATCGAAGTTGAGAATGCATCCAAGTACCTTATATGTATCTTTTAATCTCAAATGTATCATATTGTTGGTGATTTACTTTAAAATATACCTTTCATAATTAATTTCATGAAAAGAATACTCATTTAGTGAACTAAAAGCGTAAAAACGTAAAGCGTTTTGGAGAACAAGAAGCGTAAAACCGTAAGCTTTTAAGCTTTAAAGCGCAATTTAGTCCGATTTTATACACTTAAGTTTTTATATGGAAACGGAAGCGTTTTGGTGACCTAAAAGCGTAAAATCGTAAGTTTTTAAGTTTTAAAGCGCGATTTTGACTGCATTGTTCACAGGGATATCTATTTATGGGAGCTCTCCGGTCGTTTGACTGAACAGTTGGTTAGCTCTTGTTTGAACGACTCGCGAGACTGTGTTCTATTAGGGTTTCGATAGCGAAAGTGGGAACCCTTCTCTCTGATCCGTTATTTTCCCTTTCTCTTAATGGCGTAGGACAAGGGAAAATGGACAAGCTCAAGTTGGCTCAATGGGGAGAACGCTTGCGCACTGGCGGTGCTCAGATGAGCTGGGTTGTGGGTGATAAGATGAAGGAAATTCTGCAGGCTCCGACTCCCGAATCCAAGATGGTGGACGAGGCCACAACGGAGACCCTGGCGGAGCCGAATTGGGGATTGAATTTGAGGATATGCGCTCTGATCAACAGTGAGGAGTTTAATGGTACGGATTGTGAGGGCCATAAAAAAAGCTTTCAGGGAAGAGCCAAGTCAGCCAGAGATTGAGCCTTGATTTGCTTGAGGCCTGTACTATGAATTGCGAGAAAGTTTTCTCTGCAGTTGCTTCAGAGAAGGCCTTGGATGAGATGATGAAGATGATTGACAACCTTTTGTCTGATCCGGCGAATGGGAATAGGGCCTCACAGTTGATTGCAGCTTGGGGTGAATCCGAGGATCTAGAGTATCTGCCTGTTTTTCGGCAAACTTACATGGTAGTTTCTCTCTCCCAACTTCCAACAGTACAAACAAGTTGGCTCAAAATCTATTCATTTTTCCTCTTGTTTGCTCTTGATTGGTGACTTGGATTTCTTCAATGTCCAGGAAGTTGATTGTTTTTATTTTATTAACCATTGCTCATAGTTTGTTGTTCGCTTTTGTCCAACTACAACTCCAACCAAACTTGAAACTTTGAAGGCCTTATTTATGCTTTTTTCAACAATATTGTGTCAGCTATAGACTCCTTATGCAGATTTTGAAGTTACATCTCTCCTTTATGAGAATAATAGCATCAGGGCATGTGTTTTCTGTTTATGTAAATTTCACAGCAACATTTTGACAACACTCTTTGAAATGTGAGGGCCTGAAGCTGCTGCTTTGGTAGGGCAAACTCGTTCTCTTCTTCCTTTTGGCTATGTATCCTCTAATCAACTACTCCTTCCGTCCTTTGTCCAGCTTCTCTCTTTTATCACTAGTATGTCTAGCCATATCCTTTGGGGGTAACTTAAGGACTCGAGGGCAGGATAGAGGGATAGTTAGGTTCCACTATCTGGCATGACATCCTAAGTTTTGATCAACAAACACGCAGGCAAATCTGTCCGTCCAGATGTGTGGTTTGGTTATTCACATGCAGCTTTATTGCTTCTGTGTCAGGAACTAGTTTTTCATGATGGATGGTATCTTTTTTTGCATGGCAGAGCTTGAAAGAAAGAAGTATGTTAGCTGATGGAAATGCACCTCCGATGCAATACTCGCTGGAGTCGTATCTCGATCACCAGCCTCTATCTCCTCCTGGAAGCTATCCTGTTCCTGATTCAGGAGTGCCGCCTGGCTTTGAGCATGCTACCTTCAGAGAGAACTATCATGGACTATCAGTGGAAGAAAAGAATGAAGTTATTGTAACAACTAGGAATAGTCTCGGAACTTCTTTCTAGCATTTTAAATGCAGAAGCAGACCCAAAACCCATCAAGGTCAGAGCTTGTTCTTCTTCTTGAACTGGTCATTTGTGTTTCACCTCCTTCTACTCTTCCGACTTTCCAGTTGCATCTCTGATTGACTGTTAGACGACTTACTGTGTTGTTGGTATTATTATTTTTTCTTGGGAGATGGTTTTAACTATTAGTGTTCCAACATTTATCCAGGAGGAGCTAACAGTGAGCTTGTTCGAGAAGTGCAAGCAGTCGCAGGCTGTTGTGCAAAGGCTTATAGAGAGCACCACTGATGATGAGGCGATGCTGTTTGAGGCCCTCAATCTCCATGGCGAACTCGATCGAGTCATCTCCCAATATAAAGATATGGAAGCTGGCTTACAGTTTGCCGAGCAATCGGCTAAAACTCCTGAAACTTCGTTGAAGCCTGATCCGGCAGTTATTGTTGTGAATCAGGATAATGCGAAGTCAGTAGATCAGCCAGACAATGGTGTACCACCGAATCAAAGCGATGGGAGAGAGCAATTATCGACTTCAGTGCTGGGAACTGAGAAGTTGGCGTAGCAGACTTGTAACTTTCAGATAGTAGAAGTGATTGAAAATGTATGTTCGTTGGTAAATTTCCTTCTGTCGCCTTCTTGATTCTGAGGTTTGCCCCCCCCCCCTTTCTTCCCTGTGGTGTAGTAGTGGACAAGTGGTACTGATAGCAATAAGCAGGTGCCTTCGTTTAGTCGCGACGGTTGGTTGTAATTAAGGTTCCACATTTTCTTGTCCTTTTGGTAGTAAATAATGCTGTCAAACTCTTGTTTCCCATTGAATAAATGTGTCATGCCCTGGCTATGCTGGAAAAAGAAAAAATATGAACAAATTAGACATGAGAAGAATGAATGTATTAGTCGAATATTTTATCTATGAATGAATTATTTGAATATTATTAGTTTTAATTATATTTGTTAAATAGTATCCATTTGTTTGTATATTTACATTATAAAAAAAGGACACGTGTACTTTCGAATTCAGAATCTACAGACTGCAGCTCCGCCAGAATTGGGAAAGTGGCCTACAGTTTTACAATGGAGTATAGCTCGGTGGAGTGGTGAGAATACTGGTGCTGTTTTGAATCGTTTGTCATGGAGTGTCGTGTTTAGCCTGATCTGGCGTTAGTGTTACTCCAAGATGTATGGTTCTAATGGTGCGAGGTCCCCTTCTCAGCTTGTTCTCCAAGCGAAGTGGATTGTCCGTTTTCGATGCCAACTAGACCAGAGTTTGCTAGATTGTTTTGAGTCTAGGGTTTGGGGTAGAAAGCTTTTTTCTTCCAGTTTACTTTCTCGTATGCAGGAAGGTTATCATTGTACAGACTTTGTTTGTTCCGAGGAGCGTCATAGTGTTTTGTTATTGGTTGTCGACTCTTAATAATATTTTGATATAACCATAAAAAAATTCTGACTCCGACTCTGCCACTGAATACGGATTTACTAAGTAGATGAATAAGGACGATTAATGCTAGTCACTGATTATTGTGGTGCCAAGATAACAACTAATTTTAAAAAGCTAGACGAAAGCACATATTTAATAATTTTTCAAGGATTAGTACAACGAGAACACCTAAATTATAAAAGAGATGTCACTTCAATAAAATATAGTCAATATGACAATTCTAGAACAAACTTTCATTTCATTAGTGTTGACTGTTAGTCATCAACGGTGAACGAGTTGAACGCTAATATATAAGTTGATCTAGATTGATTTTATATTAATTATAAATAAATAACACTCTTCCTCTAGGGAGGCCGAAACATGCCCGCACTTTCACAACTCTTTACTCCCTCCGCCTCCACCGCAGAACTATCATTCCACCACCCAAAACTAAACTTTTCGTTGTGCCAATGCCTCCACTGTAGTACGAGACAAGCCATCATGACAATTCGATGATTTCTGGACTTGTATATTGATATTCGGCTTTAATATATTGGATTCTTGGACTTTATGTGATTATCCGTGGTATGTTTTAGCCAATTGGTGCTATTTTAGGGCTCGCTAACCAGGAAATGGTAGAAAAACCATTACTGCCTAGTGCCATTAGTTTGATATGTTACCGGTGGAGAAAGCACGAAAAAGAAGTGATTGTCTCAGGGAGAATTAATTTGGGCCGGGGTGATTTCCATGGTTGGTGGCGGAAACAATTGCAGGCGGAAGGCAGAAGGCCTTTGGGCCAGGAAATTCTACTGGGCCACGAAATTCTACTGGAGGGGGACTCTGTTTTGGTTTTTGGACGGAACAATTGGGCCCGGGGGAATGGTTGGAAAATTATCGGCAGTGGGACACACGAAAAGGGACGAAAAAGCAAGAGTTGGGGTAGGGGTGTTCAAATAGTTACCATGGTTATAACCAAACCAAATAAGGCTAAATTCCATTAACCATGGAATAAAATATCATAACCAAACCGTCCAAACTAATACAACAACCAAATTAACCAAACTAAAGTTTAATCGGTTTAGTTAATTGGTTAACCAGATTAACCAATATAAAATCACATTATCATTGACGATGAAAATTTTTCGGTTAATGCAACAATTCGCTATTTATATAATGAATAAAACATAACAATCAACACGTAGTTATAGTTGACCCTAAATAAAAATACATGCAACTAAGACAATTATCTTATGATTAGTATAGAAGTATTCACCTAACAAAAATTTATGACAATGGTATGGGTTAATGAATTGTTGTGTTTGTGTAAATTGACTTAGTCTCTTAGCAATTATCATAGGCTGGAAATGACCTTCCTTTCAAGTTTTCATCCATCATAATGTATGAAATTTATCTAAATTAGGCGTCCATATGTTGTGGTCTACATTTTACATATACAAATATACACTATATGAGCAATATTGAGCTTTATATTTTATAAGTCTAAAATGGATGAACGTTAACTCTTGAGTGGTTATGCAAAGTATTAAGTATGTGTATATAATATATGTTAGATATATGACTAATTACTTAACTGGTTAATTTGGTTTGACTGGTTAGGAGTGTCTGAAACCAAACCAAACCACCTAAACCAAACAAGCTAAAAACTTTAACCAAACCAAACCAATTATCCAAATTAACCAAACCAAATTATCCAAATAGTACTGGTTAAAACGGTTACCATGGTAACTTAACCGTTTGAACACCCCTAGTTGGGGGGCGGAGAAGGAAAAATTTCTCTGGAGGGATTTGCTTTTGGGGCGAAGAAAAGCAGCGGCGCAGCGCAAGCGCGGAACGAGAGGGAAGCAGGAGCGCTTGGCGGCGATCGCGACCACTCGAGAGGAGCAGCGGATCGAGAAGGGAATTGAATCGAACAACATCCGATAATTCAGTATTCTTTTTCTTTTGCTTTGATTCGTGACATGGTGATTAAGAACATGATTATATCTTTCAATTTCGTCATGAACTAAACCCCAATTTCTGGGGGAAACACCATAGGATGTAGCTAATTCTATATTTGATGGATTGATTCATATTTCTTTTCTTCCAATCTCTATTGCATGGAATTACTTAATGCTTTGTGTTGACTGGCCACCAATACATTGATTTGTTGTTAATTAGGTTATTAGCGACAGTGAAACCCTAATAACTGAACATATTTCATGTGACATAGTAACTTATCGAAGCGACAATGGATTAAATAAGGTACTATGCGGTCTTCATTACGATATCGATCTTCAGGCTAAATAATTAAGTCATTGAGCTACGACAGTAGGATTTGATTTAATTGTTTAGAACGTAGTAATTCCCGACAGGGATAGCTAGCACAGTAGTGATATCCTGGCTGTAGAGAATTGGATTAAATTGATTGGAATCTGTGAATTAATTTGGATAGGATAGGTAGTGAATCCCGGTGTTTCTCCCAGTGCTTTCTCCCATTGATTTAAACCCGACAAGTTTACTTTGCTTAATTAGTTTAATTATTTTGCTAGTAGTTAATAATCTCATTCAACCATTTTCACCTATAGTTCGCTCTACAAAATTGACAGAACTTAAGGTTGTACCAATCCATGAGAGACGATACCCGGACTTTCCGGATTACTACAAGATAGGAATTGGCATTACGCTTTTGCCCTATCATATATCAATTAATATATTTCCTTTATTATTACTAGACAAGCCACCACAACATTCGCCTTCTTTCACCGCAAGCAAAATCAATCTCCAAATTAATCAATCAACAAAAGAAAAAAACTTGTGCCTGGGTACGAAATTAAATTAACCTTAGACAGATCAATTTCGCGTGAACCCGGAAAATTGAAGGAAGATATCAATAGAATTGAAGAGAACAACAGTCGAGAAAGAAAAAAGATGTTTGGATACGGAGTAGCGTGTCAGTCGCAGCCACGTCGTTGAACTCGATGATAACACGGGAGAACCATTTTGTGTCGTACTCACTACTCAACAATGGCGGTGGATGGTAATTTTCATTTGGTAAATACATGTATTGTCCACAATAAAATGTTAAGAAGTTTCAAGATGCAAAACTATGCATGTATTGTTTTGTGTGGGTCTCACCTACAATCAACAAAACTGTGAGTTTGTTGTGATTGTTGGTTTAATAGTACAAACTCATTTTCTTTTCTCATTTATATTCATAGTTTCTTTTGTTTTATATTAAAAGTGGAGGGCAAATGTCAACAAGTGCTAGCCTAGTTGATGAGTCGACACACTTCCCATTGTAAGGCCGTGTGTTCGATTTCTAGTGACGACACTTGTTGATCTTCTAAATATTATTTCTTGATTACAACAACATCCTTAAAAGTCAATTTCAATTTCGAGAAGATATGAACATTGTATGATTTAGTAATTTCATCCTAATTTTTATACATCTATCTATCTATAAAAAAATATTAGGCTAGCATATATGAGAGGATTCATTATATTATTTTAGAATGAAAAGTAATGGGCCGTTAAGAGTAAGACTTAAGAGAACATAGCAAAGATTAAAAAAAAGAAAAAGAGAACGGGTGTAACATTCCGAACCTTTTCCCGACGAAAATATTGTCCGTTTTGGGTCCTCGACACTCACGGTTTTCGACGGGGGTGCAATTCAAGGTGACTTTCCATAAGGTCTCCCATCCTTGTTGTACTCCACACTGAGCACGTTTAACTTCGGAGTTCTCACAAGAACTCCTCCATTTCACCCCAAAACGCGTCTTTTTAGTTAAGGTCAGTTTCTTATTTAGGAACCATGAATCTCTCCCGTGCTTTGTCGATGTGGGATTCGCCTAACGTGTTACAACGGGGCGTATTTTGTTTTCACATCCATTCAGGGCTTAGTATTCTGTTCATAGGTTGACGTAGTAATAGGGTAGCCCATTTGGTGGCTAGAAAAGCCCTTTCTCTATACCCGACCACGAGACGTTTCTTTGATTTTCAGACCTGACTGATTTCGAGGGTGTAACTTTTTCTCTTGAATCAATATAAGATTATCTTTCGTAAAAAAAAAAAGGAAAAAAATAACAGAGAGAGATAAACATCAAATTGTCGTCGTGCCGTCTTCTCTCAGAAATGGGAACGTTCTCAACTCTCAATCTTAGTTAAAAATTCTCCCAAAAAACTCCCTATCCCGCCAATTCCCCCCCACTTCCCCGCTCACCAGTCACCACCCTCAACTTCCTCTCTGCTCTTCTTTTCCCTTCCAAAATTTAACTCCACTTTCCCTTTCCGTCGAACCCTAGTTGATCGGTTCAACTCGTTTCCTGTCGACTGTCATCATCTTGAATTCTTCAGTTGTCCTTCTACTCAGCAGAAACCCTAATTTCTCCACTCCCTTTTGGCCAGCCAGAAGGAAGGGGAAAGATAAAAACCCTAGACCGTCCGCAACCATGCCTGCACAAATCTCGCCGGGCAAGATTCTCCGTCTAGAGATGGAGAACTTCAAGTCCTACAAGGGCCACCAGATAATTGGCCCTTTCAAGGACTTCACCGCCATCATTGGCCCCAACGGAGCTGGCAAGTCCAATTTGATGGACGCCATCAGCTTCGTCCTCGGTGTCCGTACCGGCCAGCTCCGCGGTGCACAGCTCAAGGACCTCATCTATGCTTTCGACGACCGCGAGAAGGAGCAGAGAGGCCGCAGAGCTTTCGTGCGGTTAGTCTACCAGTTAGCTAGTGGTGCGGAGATTCACTTCACTCGAGCTATCACGAGCGCTGGTGCGAGCGAGTACCGCATCGATGACAAGGTTGTCAACTGGGACGAGTATAACAAGAAATTAAGGTCGCTGGGGATTCTAGTTAAGGCCAGGAACTTTTTGGTCTTTCAGGTAAATTAGTGTCCAAATTTTGTGCTCCAGGTGGAGGAAAGCAAGTTAAACTTAGATGTGATTGGCATGATACCATAATTCCGTTTCTTCATATGTGCGCGTATACATTAATCTAGGGGGATGTTGAGTCTATTGCATCCAAGAACCCGAAGGAGCTGACTGCTCTGCTTGAGCAAATTTCTGGGTCCGAGGAATTGAAGAGGGATTATGAGGATCTGGAAGAACAGAAAGCGAGGGCAGAAGAGAAAACTGCACTTGCCTATCAAAAGAAAAGAACAATAGTAGGTGAAAGGAAGCAAAAGAAAGCGCAGAAGGAAGAAGCAGAGAAGCACAATCGCTTGCAAGCTGAACTGGTATGAGCTGTAAGGTTACATGACGTATAGAGGCCAGAGGGGCATTGGCCCAATCGTCTTGCTTCCTATTATGATGCCAATCTTGCTTGTCCAGCCGTTAACAGATTTCTTTTATTGATGATCCAGAAATCTGTGAAGAGAGAGCATTTCTTATGGCAGTTGTTCACCATAGATAATGACATTACAAGGATAAATAAAGAACTTGAAGCTGAAACAAAGAACCGTCAAGATGTTATGGAGGAACTCGAGAGGTTTGAACACGAAGCTGATAAAAAGAAGAAGGAGCAGGCTAGGTACCTGAAAGAGCTTTCCAACTGTGAAAAGAAGATCCATACGAAAAGCCTTAAGCTTGAAAAACATGTAAGCATTGTCTGTACATGTAATATTTCTGTTTTTTTTTCCCGGGGGAGTAAACTTTTCTGTTGAATCCTGGTTTAAGAAGAGTAACTTTAAATTTCCTTCTGTTGTCCCCGGATGCTTGTTTTCTTGTTTGTTCTGTAGCAACCTGAGCTTCTGAAATTAAATGAGGAAATGACACGGTTAAGGTCAAAAATTAAGAGCACCAGCAAGGATCTTGATAGGAAAAAAGAAGAACGGAAGAAACACGAGAGTGAGGTAAAAGAACTACAGCGTGGCATACAGGATCTGGCAGCAAAACTGGATGATCTGAACGAGAGAAGTCGAGACAGTAGCGGCAAACTTCCTTTGGCTGACAGTCAACTGACCGACTACTTTCAGATGTGAGTTCATAGTACTTCGCATTCACAGTTTTTTTGTTTGATAACAATCTAATGCTCCCATTAGATGATTGAGGCATAGGTATCTTCAGTGACTGTCCTCGTTCGTGCCTATTTCTGGAATATCAAATCAAGAAGTTCCGAGATAAAAAAGGAAAAAAAGAGTACTTAGCCTATGTGGAAAAATATTGTTCTCGTGTAGGGTGGTTATTCCTTCACTAATAAGATTTAAGATTCTCATTTGTGGCTTAGAATTTTCTTGCCACTGTTCATTAAGGGAGCTTTAATGTTGCAGCAAAGAAAAAGCTGGGATGGAAACTAGCAGGCTTAGGGATGAAAAGGAGGTATTGGACAGGCATCAACATGCTGATATGGAAGCTGAGAAGAATTTGGAAGAGAATCTTCAACAGTTGAGAAATCGGGAGCAGGAACTTGATTCACAGAAGGAGCAAATGCAAGCAAAACTTAAAAATACTGTTGACACTTCTGCTAGCCGTAAAACTGAACTGACAGATCTGAAAGAAAAACTGCGGGGGATACGAGATATGCATCAGGAAACCAAGTCAGTGGTTGTATTAATTCTTCTTCATTTCATGATTTCTTTTTCAGTTAGCCTTTTTACTTGTGGTTATTTGCCGAGAATGCCAAGGATATATGTTTGTAGGTGGCATTTGCTTTTCTTGCATATATTTACCTCATTACTTATTGAAACTTTTTTCACTGAGAAACAGTATGAAATTACAATAACATTATATGTTGACCACATCTTTCTTTTATCAGGAACAAGCATCAGAACTTGAAGTCCAAGATTGGCGAGATAGATAGCCAATTGCGTGAATTGAAAGCTGATAGAAATGAAAACGACAGGGATGCTAGGTTGTCCCAAACAGTTAAGACTCTTGAACGCCTTTTTCAAGGAGTTCATGGACGTATAATTGAGCTCTGTAGGCCGACCCAAAAGAAATACAACCTGGCTCTCACCGTAGCTATGGGCAGATTTATGGATGCTGTGGTTGTTGAGGATGAAAATACAGGGAAAGAATGTATCAAGGTAGCTAGCTATCATGCTTGTCTTCCTCCATTTTGACATGGCTGTCTGATTTACTTGTTGGTCATTGTGTTTGCTCATTTTTTGGAAGATCTTTTCCATGGAAGTCTTGAGTTTGGTCTTTTGTGCAGTATTTGAAAGAGCAAAGGCTTCCCCCTATGACATTTATACCCCTTCGGTCTGTCCGTGTAAAGCCAATTACCGAAAGGCTGCGTACTTTAGGGGGTTCTGCGAAGCTCGTCTTTGACGTGATCAACTATCCTTCTGCCCTGGAGAAGGCTATACTCTTTGCGGTTGGCAATACTATGGTCTGTGATGACCTTGATGAAGCCAAAAAACTTGGATGGGAAGGGAAGGGAGAGAGACTTAAAGGTAAATGCTTATAAGCCTTCTCAACTCCTAAATGTGAGAGATGAGATAAAATCTCAATACTTATTATTCCATTGTCAATGTTGACTGAAAGTCTTTCTATTTGGTTTTCCCATCTCAGTTGTAACTGTAGATGGGACTCTCCTCACAAAGTCTGGCACAATGACTGGCGGTACTAGTGGCGGGATGGAGGCAAGATCAAAGCAATGGGATGATAAAAAGATTGAGGGTTGGTTTAATTCCAGATAAATCTTCTCTTTTCCTGTTCTTGGTGCCTTAAGGTTTTATGTTGCCATTCTTTAGGATTGAAGAAGAAGAAAGAGCAGTTTGAGTCTGAACTAGAAGAGCTAGGGTCACTTAGGGAAATTATTCAGATAGAGTCTGAAGCGTCTGGCAGGATCAGTGGTCTTGAAAAGAAAATCCAGTATGCAGAGATTGAGAAGGTAATTCAATTTTATTAATGTGATATTTCTACTGTGTATGTGGGCTGCTAGGTCATTCTTGTCTGGATGGTGTAGATTTTGTAGCCCCCATATGCTGATTTACTTTGATGCTTCCCCAAAAATTTTCTTTCAGAAAAGTATTGAGGACAAGCTTGAGAACTTGAAAAAAGAGAAGCAAATTATTGGAAAAGAAATTTGTCGTCTAAATCCTGAATTGCAGAAGGTAATTTTCAGATAGTAACTTGCTTTGCATTCATCTCAATTGTATTACCAACATAGCAACTGAAACTTGTACTTCATAGAAAAAAAAGAAGAAAACCATAAAACTAATACCTTATGAACCTTGTGTAGTTGAAAGGTACTATTGGCAGCAGAGGTAATGACATTAGGGAGTTGGAGAAAAGAATAAATGAGATAGTTGATGGGATTTACAAGGACTTCAGTAATTCTGTTGGTGTGGCAAACATACGTGAATTTGAAGAGAACAATCTCAAGGCTGCCCAACATGTTGCTGAAGAAAGGCTTAGTTTAAGCAACCAGCTGTCAAAGTTGAAGTATCAGTAAGTTATCCATATAGCTGCTTATCTGTGTTCTTTTTCTATGGATCACTTGGAACTCTTAGTTTAGTTATAATATGCGATCCTCTCTTTCTATTCAATTACTTGTCATTTGTTGTCTCATGCAAAGACTGGTTATGTTCTCTCCAGATGCTTTCTTATTTGTCCTTGTTTAGTCTGCCTATTGTTATGCTGCTGCAGTGCAGATGTTTTCTCTTTAGTTAATTGGTTTTTAAACTTTAGTTTATTGTTAGGACCTACTATAACAATGCATTTTAATTTCTTTGTATGCCCGCTTCTCGAATCAGATACTGGAATGAAGTTATCCCAATAAAGTTGTGAATTAATCTTGAAGCTGAACTTCAGTACATACTGTTTAGAGTATATGCTCAGTGATTGTGTATCCTACCATTTCAATATTAATTGGTTTTCTGTGTACCTGGGACTGTTGGTTGGCTTTGCCCTTTTCTTGGGACCTTGAGTTTAAAGATTACATGCATTGTATATAGAACAGTATGTGACATCAGGAAGTAACAATCAGAATGGTCATAGGATTATCTTTCTCCCGTTGAAGGTATGGTTAGGTTTTGTGGTAATCTCGAAATTAGTCGCTGGAGAAAAATTAGAGCAGCAGCAATGCAGCTTATCTGACTTTAGAGTTTCTTTTTCCCTTCCATTGTATGCTTACTTGAGCGAGAAGTGAAGAAAGCTTGGTAAATGTCTGGACGACGAACACATTGTTCATTTGTCCCCTAGCTTCTGCTTTTCTTTCATCGCAGTTTGATTTCATATATCTCAGAAGAAATTTGCTAGTGATAAAGCTTAAGGGATTAAGGAGGCAACAACATTTTGCTTGTGAGTGCTGGTTTTCATCGCATTTAATGTTGTGTGGTTTATTTCTTGCTAGCTCGCTTTTGACTTGGGTGGTACATTAATGTTTTCATGGCAATAGTGAATTCTTTTTCTTGCACATTAAGTGCATCATGAACTGAACTGGTTCAGAACCGCTGCTAGTTGCAAAATTTTCTTCTCCCCTCCTTTGCAATAAAGATTCTGTTATTTGCCCCTGCAGATTGGAGTATGAGCAAAAGCGGGACGCAAATGCAAGGATTAGAAAGCTGGAATCTTCTCTAGGTAATTTAAAGAATGAATTGAAAAATGCTGAGAAAAGAGAGGTTGATGTCAAGTCAGCTACGGAGGACATGACGAGTGAGATTAATAAGTTGAAGGAAGAAGTTCAAGGTACTTCTACTGTTCTCCCTTAACATTTTGGAAGTAGTTCTTATTGTACGAATGTACGACAACCTTTTTTCTTTTTTGCGGTACTAGTACAGCCTTTCCCGAATGCCTTTCTATTTTTTATATATGTAACAGAATATTGTTCTTAAAAGAAATGAAAGAAATCTCAACTATTGCAATGCTTAATATATATAATCTAATGTTTTAAAGGATGTTACATTTTTAACTATTTAATTGTCTGCTGTGAATGAGTTGTCCATCATTAGGTGTAGAAATCCAACAGTTCTGACTGACTGGCTGCGATTTTTACTATTTAGTGCTTTTGAGATTGAGAAATTTATCCATGTAAGTGAATGTTAAAGCAGACTCTTAGTATTTCAGTGATCAAGTGTCCTTGGCTCCTTGCCAACAATAATTTCTCTTTACGTTCTAGAACTTATTGTCAATGAAGGTCAAACAAAGTATTACAAACTTAATGACAGCTACAAGCATGTTTAAAAAATGACAATTTCGAGAAAAGGTAACCAACCGAATATGACTAATCAGGTTTAGGTGGCTCATCAAAATATAAGATACATCTATATGTATTTATGAATTTTACAGTTTAGAATAAGCGAAATGATTTAGTTTAAGAAAACGAAATGTCGATATGATGACTTGTCTTTGGGGTTTTTTTTCTATTTAATCTTGAACTGGGTGTTTGTAGATGCATCTTTAAATGTGCTAAGTTCGAACTCCCTAATCCTTGTAGAGTGGAAGTCCAAAGCAGAAAGTTGTGACAAGGATATTCAGGAATGGAAGAAGCAGGCTTCATCTGCTGCTACAAGTTTGTCGAAGCTTGGCCGTCAGATAAGCTCCAAGGTAACTCCTCAGCCCAGCTTTCAAGTCGTCAGTTTCTTATTGTTAAATCCAGAACAGTCTGAACGTTGAAGAATGTATGGAAATGGAGAACATATAGAGTTGTAATCACATCTTCCCTTTTGTTTAATCAGGAGGCACAGATTGACCAACTCTTGTCTCGGAAGCAAGATATTGTGGAGAAGTGTGAATTGGAGCATATCAACCTCCCAATTATTTCGGATCCCATGGATACTGATTCGTCAATTCCGGGCCCATTCTTTGAGTTTAGTGAGCTGCATAGAACTCTTCTTCAAGATAAGGGGACTTCAGACAGAGAGAAGATCGATCTGGAATTCAAGCGAAAAATGGATTCCTTGAGATCTGAAATAGATAGAACTGCTCCAAACTTGAAGGCTCTGGAGCAGTATGAGGCTTTGCTGGAGAAGGAAAGAGAAGCATCTGAAGAATTTGCCACTGCCAGCAAGGAGGAGAATCAGGCCACCAAAGCATATAACTCGGTTAGGCACAATAGGTAAGAAAGAACTAACCTGTGGTCTTTTCTATTCCAAAAGTTGAAGCCCCTATCAGTCTTTTATTGCAGGTCTAAAAGAGTAGCAAGTCCAGAAAGAAATGGGGTCCCTGACAAAATTCCCAATATGAAAATGGTCAAGAGTATCATAACATGGTGCTGTTTTGAACTTGAAGAATTGGAAACTGTGTTTGGATGTCAATAGATATAGTGAAAGAAGAGAGTTCTTTCACCTGCCAAATGGTTCAAATTTTTTTGGGAGCGCCCTTTCGTATAAGATTAACTTGAATAATTTTATTAGGAAATGTTAAGTTGAGTATATTGGGCACTTCTGTGAGGTGTGAATGAGATAACTAATCTAGTGGCTGAGTTCTGCATCTTCTGGGTGCAAGCCCAAGTTTTCATATGGGAGAAACTATGAACAAGTAAACTTCAAGAACGGTCAAAACTTTGTTTTCATAGCAATAGGACTGGCCTAGAAAAAGAGAGCGGAAGGGGAGAAAAAAGGAAGGTTTTCACCAACGAACTAGGAATAATGAATTGGATTTTCTATTACTAAACTAATGGTACTGGGGGTTTAGTTATCCTTGTTATTTTTCATCATGCTTAGTCTTCTTCAACTTGCTGTGCTCTCTCTTTTGGTAACCTGGGAAGATGGCAAACGTGATCACTTGGGAGTTAAATGCATTGCCGTTCTGACTTGATTTGGTTTTGCAGACATGAGTTATTCATGGAAGCTTTCAACCATATATCAAAAGTAATTGATAAGATCTACAAGCAATTGACGAAGAGTGGCTCGCATCCCTTGGGTGGAACTGCGTATTTGAACTTAGAGAATGAAGATGAGCCTTATCTACATGGTATCAAATACACTGCTATGCCTCCAACCAAACGTTTCCGAGATATGGAACAGCTGTCTGGTGGGGAGAAAACTGTTGCAGCACTGGCTTTGCTTTTCTCCATCCACAGGTATTTAAATAATAGGATTCATTAATGATAAGCGGGAAGAAAGGTTGGCTGCTGGTTTCAATTAGTACTAATATTCAGTTTTCTTTGTGTAATCCTCTGAATAGCAAGAAGTTGTTCTTAGTTGTGTGGTGTGTATTCTGGACTTGACGTGTTCATCCGTTCTATCTTCAAACAATGAACAGTGGTACTTTCTTTGTTCAGCACTTAATTCTTCGGCTTTCTTGTGTCTTTTTCAGCTATAGGCCGTCGCCATTTTTCATATTGGATGAGGTTGATGCTGCGCTGGATAACTTAAATGTCGCCAAGGTAGCTGGTTTCATTCGTTCAAAATCATGTCAAGCGGGGACTCGGGTGGATCAGGAGCACGATGGTTCTAACCTTAACATGGAAAGCGACGGTGAGAGTGGCAGTGGTTTCCAGAGTATAGTGATCTCTCTGAAAGACAGCTTTTATGACAAGGCCGAAGCTTTGGTGGGAGTTTACCGTGATGCAGATAGAGGGTAAGTCTATCTCACTCAGTTTGTTTAGAAAATCTTCTTAAGCTTTTTTTTATACCCAGTACTTTAGATCAACGATCTGATGTAGTTGTTTGTATATGCCTTTTCAAATGGGTGCAGCTGCTCGAGAACTCTGACATTTGACCTGACTGGATATCGAGAGTCATCAGGATTGCTGTAAATTGCAGGTAGCTTTAACTGAATTGGCTGTGTAAATACGAAGCACTGAAGCAGTAACATCCGTCGAGATTAGGTTATCTGTTTATTGTCTCAAGGGAAGATTATGTTATTTCTAGTTTGTAGATGAACCTGATGAATGATATTTAGCTCAGGTTTGTTTATGGCGCCTACAAGGAAAATGTGGAAACTGTTTAGTATAATATTTTCTGAATCTGTTGAGCCTTGGAAGTTGAAAAAACGTATGTAGCTGTGAGATGGACCCCCTGAAACAAATGGTTATCTATCTTAGTCTGTTTGCCTGTTTGTTTGTTAATAGATCCATAGAATCCCACTTCTTTTGATACTTGTGTATCATGAAGGCAAATTGGTGTTCTTCATTTTCTAAGATATAAGTTTGAAGGTAATCACGATTTTCATTTTTGATGGATTTCAAATATATATCACCAAAATTTAAAAGCGAAAAGATCTATTTATGGCTACTTTTGTTTCTTGAAATTAGATCCTTCTATCAAAATTTTCTATGATTTTTTGTTTATGAAGAAAATTTATAGAACGACATTTAGTAATAGCGATAAGCTAATGAACAAGTAGTCACGGGCAAGAGTGATTAAAATACGATATGGAAGGATGTGCTTACAGTGCCTAAAATGCATCTAATACGCGCCTCTTAATTTATAAACTGACCTTTTTGTATAGGGTAAATGACACATTTGGTCACTGAGATTATTAAATTGTGTCATGTTTAGTCACTAGAAAAAATTAATATCAATTTTGGTCATTCGAATTACCGAAACTGGTCAAATTTAGTCACTCTCCCGTCAGTTTCCGTCCAACTCCATTAATGTAGTTGGACGGAAACTTTTGGGAGAGTGACTAAATGTGACATGTTTCAGTAATCCGAATGACTAAATGTGACATTTTTCAATAATTCGAGCGACCGGAGTTGGACAGAGGCTACAGAATGAGTGACCAAATGTGACATGTTTCAGTAATTTGAGTGATCAAAATTGATATTAAATTTTTCTAGTGACTAAATATGACACGATTTAGTAATCTCAGTGACCAAATGTGTCATTTACCCTTTTTGTATATTTTTCATTGTGCCAAATTTCAGGACACCTGAAGCCACCGACCGAATACGTTTGTTATTTTTAGGGTCATACAATTATAGCTTTTGGAAATCAAAACCCCCCTCTTGCTGGCATTTGGGAAGCTGTAGAATTACAGAGTTTCTCTCATTTCTCGTTTTTATGTAAATGTCGGTTTTTGACACGAAGGAGATGGAGAGAACACATTTTCAAAATTTAGCAAAACCTGGATCCATCTCTCCCCCCTCTCATTTCTTGCTCTATTCCTGAATCCGGAGAACCCTTCTTCAGGATTCAACAATGGATAAGAAATGTGAGAGGAAATCACAGGACACATCAGAAGAAGCAGAAGAAGAGAATGACGAGGAGGAGGAGGAAGAAGAAGAACAAGAAGAACAAGAAGACGAGGACATCGATGAATATACAAACGCAGTCGTCACCAACGAAAGCCAAGACGAAGAGATTTGTACGTATTGCGATGAAGATGCAGGAATCGACAAGGAATGCGAGAGCCCGAAGGATCCTGTGGAGTACAAGATGCGGAAGAAACGAGCATTGCTGAAATTCAAGACCCTGGTGGAGGATGCAATTTGTAAGAATTACCTCGTAGACAAGCCCAAGAAACTCCTCCTCTCCTCCTGCAGGAAGAGCAAAAGGAATGCCAAGGAGCAGCAACAGCAGCTGCGGGAGGACATTTCCCTCTGGGGGGTTCCTCTGCTTCCAAGCAGAGACCACGAAGGCACCGAAATCGTGCTGCTCAAATTCCTCAAGGCCAACAACTACAAGGTCCGCTCGGCTTTCTACATGCTTCGCAAGGTCATGAAATGGCGCAAGGAGTACGGGACAGACTCGATCCTCGACGAGGATCTCCTGACCCGCGACAACGACGAGCTCAAGGACGTTGTCCATACGGGCAGCACGGACAAGCAAGGCCGCCCGTTGTATTACACGGTGTACGGGGCGTTCAAGGACAAGGCTCTGTGCACCAAAGTTTTGGGCACGGAAGAGAGCCGCGAGAATTTCCTGAGGCTCAAGGTCCAGAACCTGGAGAAGAGCATCAAGCAGCTGAGCTTCAAGTCCGGCGGGGTCGATTCGATCGTCCAGATCACCGATCTGAAGAACTTCCCTGCACCCATGAAAGAGCTCAGCTCTATTAGCAAGAAGATCGTCACTTTGTTCCAGTCCAACTATCCGGGAATCATCAACAAGAATGTAAGGTTAAATTCGGACTGTGATTAAATAATGTTCGTCGTTGAGATGGTGGTTTATATATATATATATATCTCTGTTGCAGATACTGATCAATGTTCCATTCTGGTACTACACATCGCGAGTTGTCACCAAGAAGCTGATGAACCCAAGAGCAAGGAAGAAGTTCATCCTAGCTAGGCCTTCAAATGTAACGCAGACCCTTTCGAAGTAAGCTATGCATAGCTAAGAAAAATTGCAACGAACACAGTGCTGCCCCATTCCTTTTTCTGAATGCAATTCTGTATTTGACGATTTCAAGGTACATACCAATAGAGCAAGTCCCCGCTCAATATGGTGGTCTGAAAAGGGATAACGATGTCGAGTTTTCCCCAGAGGACAAAGCGCTGGAGCATAGGATCAGAGCAAATGCAGTCGGCCACGTTAACATTCCAGTTACTGAGGTACTAAACGAGATCTGAAACATCATTGTGAGTGTCCATCCATCCTGTAATTGACTACTTATTATTGGGTTTTTGTGTGTGTTTTCAGAGTGGGGTGATGATTGTATGGGATTACACTGTAGTTGGATGGGATGTGAGTTTCAAGGAACAGTTCATTCCTGACGACGAAGGCTCTTATACCATCCTGATAAGGGGCGGCAAGGTGAAAAGACCCACGGAAAATGCTAGAAACTCGTACTACATCAGTGAGCCAGGGAAGATTGTTATAACAGTCGAGAGTTCTTCATATGCCAGGAAGAAAGTATACTATCGATTCAAAACCAAACCGATTTCGGCCGAGCAGTTCTTTCTTGGCGCGGATGCTGAAACCACTGCATGAACTTGGATCCAACATTCTTTGTACATCTTCTGGCAACTGAGGATGATAAAGAAAATTTGCCAACTCATGCATTGTCGCCGTAGAAATACTTAATCCTGACAAACTTACTATTATAGAATGACTGTTATGTAGTATGATGAGTCAAATTTTGTGGCGGACAAAATACAATCATATACTATAACTTTGGCCTTTCTGACAATCAATAATTATAATCAAGTTTTTCAAATTATGACAAATATAGTCATATTTGAAAGTTTTTGTGAGACATATACAGCCATAAGCATTCAAATTGTTAACGAGTTGATATCGATGCCAGTGCCACGTTAGTTTCAAATAGCCATGTCATGTCACCGGTTAGCTACGTCATATTTAAAAAATACATTCATATAGTCAAAACTTTGATATTAATGACAAATATAGCTATTTTTGCATAATGACAAATATAGCGTTCTATCCAAAAAGTGTTAGATATATACAACAGAAGTATTAGAATTGATGACTGGTTCTTCAATGTTTCTGGTGGATTTGGTTGCATGGGATCTAAGAAGATGAGAGATGGTTGGGTTGGTTTGGTTGTTGTCAAAGAGAGTAGTGGAGTCCGAAATGGATGTGATTTCTTTCATATGTGGCGACATCTGGTCACGTTATTAGAGGGAGTACTGTCTAAAGATTGACAATCTTAAGTTAGATACAAAATGCACAACCCCAAAATTAAGCAAAATTTATAACCAATCTCGAGCCCTTTCACTGAGAAAATGATTGGGATCAAGTTGACTTTTTTAATACATTAATTTTCAATTGGATATTTTGAAATTTTCATTTTAGCTCGGTAAAAAAGAATTAATTATGGTCTATAGAATAATATATGTTTTGATACGTTTCGGCTAAAAAAGTTTGCAATGTTGTATATTATTATTATGCGGCTTGGTGTATAATTTGTACCCACATGGTATATTTTTCATACCATCTCTATATAGATATTTTTCGTTCTAGAATATATCAAATTAGATGTTATTTTATGGATAATAATTAATTCAAATAGCTTGGATTCCAACAGACCATTGGATTAGTGCACTACCCACTTCGGGTCAATCTAGCAGAATTCTGCTCATTCCATTTGGATGAAAATGATAGCAAGAGCATAGCTCATGTTACTCGATTTATTTGACAGCAGCTTATGCTAGTGAGAGTAGCTAGAAGCACCTAAAAAATTGTTAAGTGGTATGTGGCACAACTGAATTTGAATAACTGAATTACAAAGTCGCATTTCGATTGCACCGTTTCATTTATATGAAAACCTGAGTGACAAGTTGAACTAGTAAATGACTCGCCGACGGGAACCCCTGTCCAGCCCAGCAAGAAAGCCAGAGCGCAATCAAACTCTGAATTCTCAGGGCAGGCGGATATGGATGTCGCGATTGTCACCGCCAGTGCGGCCGATGAAGAGATGCCCAGCCCGGGGCAGCCGGAAAAGGGGGGATCCACCTCTCAGCCTGATGTCAACCACGATTCTGCTGCCCGAAAAATCTCTTACAAAGATTCTTTTCTCAGAAACGGAGCGCCGCTAGAGATCCCAGAGGGGGATGACCTAATGTCGGACGAATCCGACGATGAGAATGGAGACGATGATCCAGAGTGCCCTACAATCAGAATAAAAAAGAGAACAAATGCAATCATCTGCAATAGATGGAGAAGGGCCATTACTTTCCGTGTTCTTGGGAAGAATTTCCCCTTCGCTTTTGTTCACAGGAGAGTCCAGAGAATGTGGGCGAAAACGGGAGGGATGAAGGTGGGGGATATCGGCAATGGATATTTTCAAGCATCCTTCGACTCGCAGCTTGATCACGACAGAGCTCTATATGGGGGACCATGGACGATAGAGGATCATTACATCGTTGCTGAACCCTGGAGGTTAGATTTTGATCCAGATTTCGACACCATTAATAGAACTGCTGTTTGGGTTCGTCTCCCCCGCCTTCCATTAGCCTACTTCGATGAAGACATTCTCACTGATATAGGAAATAGGCTAGGGAGGGTGGAGAAAATTGACTACAATACAGCCAATGGGTTTAGGGGGAACTACGCTCGTATTTGTGTGGAGATTGATCTTAGGAAGAAGCTGATCTCTAAATACAGAATCAAGAGAAGGGTGAGGAGGGTTGAATATGAAGGCTTGCATATTGTTTGTTTTGACTGTGGAATGTATGGCCACCTTGCCGAGGCTTGCCCACAAAAGAAACCAGCAGAGAAGATCAACACTGAAGATCAAGCAAAGACCCCCAACACTTCACAAGCAAGCCAGGAAATTCGACCAGAAATTCTGGAAGACTATGGACCCTGGATGCTGGCAACAAGACCGAAGAGGAAGAATAATCAGCAGAAGAACAGAAAGAGTGAAGACAAAGGGAAAGAATCAGTGGCAGCAGGTGAAAAAAAAGTCTCAGGATCGCGCTTTAGTGCTCTGGAAGCAGAAGAAATGGAGACACAAGAAACAGGGCAGGAAACGATGGAGATGAATGAGCAACACCAAGAGCCGAGTGATGCATTGGAAAAACAAAATGAAAGTCCAAGAGAAGATCGAAGGGAGAAATTACAGGAGGAAACAAAGCTGGAAAAGAAGAGGTCTGAACAGAAGGGTACAACTGAGGGAAAGGAAAGCAAGGATAAAAAAGCTGGGCAAAAACAAACTACAAGAAAGGAGAACCAGAAGCCAACCCCGGAATCGCACAAACAGAATGATTTGTTGAACAGCTCCAAGATGAATGTTGCTACTCTTGTCAGGCAAAACTTGGGGGCCAATGTCTCGGCGAAGGGTGTACCATCATCTTTCAAAAACTCTAGTGGAAAGATTACACCTACTTCAACCAAGACAAGCAACACCAAAATCTCATCTGTGGAAGCTAATTCAGGTCATAAGCCAAAGATGAGGCAAACTGTGAATGGCAAGGAGGTTATTGATGACCCTAAGAAGGATCCACACCCACATTCCATTCTGCTGGGCAATCCTAGGAAGATTAACTTCGACCTCAGTAAGGATGGTGCCAAGTCAGTGCCAGAAAATGCAACCAACCTGAAGGATACTGCCTGCAGCAGCATTCCAGGGGAGGAAAAGACGGCAATGGCCGTCGATAACTGCTGATTTCGACCAAAGGGTCGACACAGGGAAGCTTTTGAATCATTGTGATGGTTAAAGTTCTTTCCTGGAATTGCAGGGGTGCAAAACACCCCAAGTTTCTTGCTACACTTAAACTGTATAAGACTACTTTTAGTCCTGATGTTGTCTGTATCCTGGAACCAAGGATTAGTGGAAAGGAGGCTGCAAAAGTCATCATGGCCACTGGTTTTGATTCTTGGAAAGTGTCGGAGGCGACGGGTTTCAGTGGAGGTATCTGGGTCCTATGGGACAGCAGCAAACTTAATATGGAGCTTGTTGATAACCACAGACAGTTCCTCCATCTTAAATGTGTGATGGGAGGAAGAGATAGGTACTTCCTTACTGCTGTTTATGCCAGCCCAAACGAGCATGACAGGGGAAGCCTTTGGAATGAACTGAAGAGAATTGAAAGAAACCTCTCCCTGCCTTGGATGCTGACTGGGGATTTTAACTCAATCACCAGCCCGTTTGAGAAACAAGGAGGAGCACCTTTCAACCCTGCGAGAGTTAGTGCTTTTAAGGGGTGTATTGAAGAATGTGGTCTTGTCGATTTAGGGTACATTGGCCCCAATTTCACCTGGTTTACCAGCAAGACCAGAATTAAAGAGAGGCTTGATAGAAGTTTGTGTAATATCGATTGGCAACAACGATTTCCACTGACTACTGTGACACACCTGCCAAGAGTGAAGTCTGATCATAGGCCAATCCTCACGGATACTTCCCCTAATCTGGGAAAAAACAAGCTGGTGAGAAGATTCCAATTTCTTGCCTCCTGGTTAGATCACAAAGAGTTTCTTCCCTTTGTTGCCAATTCTTGGACTGCTGGCTTTGATTTCCTTCCTTCTTTGCAGGCTCTGGCGGGAAAACTCTCAACCTGGAATAAGGAAGTTTTTGGAAACATCTTCAAAAGAAAAAAGGAGCTGCTCAACTCTCTCAAATCCCTTGAGATCCTCAACCATAGGAACCCCTCAAACAGCTCATTGGCTAATGAACAAAAAACTAGGGAGGATCTGGAGGGTGTGCTTTGGCAGGAGGAGATGCTGTGGATTCAAAAATCAAGAGCACAATGGACCACCAAAGGAGATCAAAATACCAGATACTTTCACAACTGCACTTTGAGCAGGAGAAAAAGGAACAAGATCATGGCCCTCAAGGATGATCAAGGAAACTGGGTTACTGATCCTGAGACACTGCAGTCCATGGCAAGAGACCACTTTGTCACCCTCTTCTCAAACGATAGTGATGACAACAGGCCCACCATTGCTGCTGATTTCCCAGAGATCGATGAGGCAGCCCTCAGACTCCTTGGAAAACCTCCCTCACCTCTTGAGATTAGAGGGATTATCATGGCTATGAATGGCCTCAAAGCTCCGGGGAAGGACGGTTTTCATGCTCTCTTTTTCCAGAAATGCTGGAATACTGTTGGACTTGACTTTTCTAACTTTGTTACTTCCTGTTTCAGAGACCCTAGTAGAATCCAGTTCATGAATGAGACTCTGCTTGCCTTAATCCCTAAAGTGGAAGCTCCCTGCTCTATGAACCAATTCCGGCCCATTAGTTTATGTAACGTGGGGTACAAGGTGGTGGCAAAAAGCTTGGCTGACAATCTGAAAAAGCTTATGCCCCATCTAGTTCATCAGAATCAATCGAGTTTTGTTCCTAAGAGACACATTACTGATAACATAATCATCTTGCAGGAAACAGTGCACTCCATGTCCAGGAAAATAGGGAAGAAAGGCTACATGCTTTTGAAAGTCGATCTCGCCAAAGCCTACGATAGGATTGACTGGAAGTTCTTGGAAGAAACCCTGTGTGCTGCACGCTTTCCTTTGGATTTTGTCAGTCTCATCATGGCTTGTGTAACCACTTCTTCCTTTCAAGTCCTCTGGAATGGTGGGGAAACAGAAAGCTTCAAACCATCAAGAGGATTAAGACAGGGATGCCCTCTCTCACCCTACCTCTTTACATTATGCATTGAACGCCTTAGCCATTGCATCCTGAAAGAGTCTAGGGAAGGGAATTGGAAACCTGTCACTTTATCCCCAAATGGTCCTGCTTTAACCCACCTGTTTTTTGCTGATGATCTGGTGCTTTTCTCCCATGCCTGCCCTAACCAAGCTGATGTTGTCCTTAACTGTCTTGGTTCTTTTTGTTTAGCTTCTGGTGAACTTGTTAGCAAAGAAAAATCTCGTGTTTTCTTTTCTAAAAATGTTAGAACCAGTACTAGGCAGTCCATTAGTGCTAAGCTTGGGATACAAGAAACTAATGATCTTGGTAGGTATCTTGGTGTCCCTGTCATACATGGGAGGATCACTAGGGACACTTACAAGTATATTCTCGATAGAATGGATAGAAGTCTAACAGCCTGGAAAGCTAGAACTCTGTCCCTTGCTGGCAGAGTTACCCTTGCAACATCTGTTTTGAATGCCATTCCCACTTTTGCTATGCAGACTACCCCTATCCCCTTGACTGTGTGTGATGTTATTGACAAGAAAATCCGTGGGTTTGTTTGGGGATCTCAAGAGGGAAAGAGAAAAGCCCACCTGGTGTCATGGGAGCAAATCTGTAAACCTAAGAAACTGGGTGGATTAGGGCTCAGATCTGCTCGCAGCATGAACAAAGCCTATATGATCAAACTTGCTTGGAATATTGTTAACAATGAGAATGATCTTTGGGTTAGAGTGCTCCAAGGGAAATACTATAAGCATAAGAATGGGGAAATTACTTCAATGAAAAAAACTAACCATTCTAGCCTGTGGAAAGCCATCGTTCAGGCAATGCCCCTCATGAAGGAAGCTTCCTGTTGGAGCATCCGCAATGGAGAGACAACCAGTTTTTGGAAGCATCCTTGGCTTGATTGTGGGGTCATTCTGGAGGACTACCTGCTGCAGGAAATCACTGTCGAGGAAAGAGATTCACCAGTCTCTAATTGGGTCAACCAAACAGGTGAGTGGAACTGGGAGAGACTGAGAACCCTCCTTCCTGATGAGCTGCTATCTCTGATTGCAGGTGCAGAACCGCCCAAACCTGAGCTCGGAGAGGATAAAATGTCATGGGGGCTTGAACGCGATGGACGGTTCCGAATGAAGTCTGCCTATGCTCTTGCTGCCAGCCTTGAGGAAGAAGAAGAGATGCAACAGTGGAAAAAGCTTTGGAAGTGGGGAGGGCCAAACAGAATAAAGCACTTCTTTTGGCTGGTCCTCCATGATAGGCTGTTCACCAACAGAGAAAGAGTTAGAAGAGGCATCTCAAACAATGCTAACTGCAACCTTTGCAGGGAAAAAGAAGAAACAACGGAACACATCTTGAGAAGCTGTGAAAAAGCTAAAGCTACCTGGGGAAAATTCAGAGACAAGCTCACAATCGGGAATCTGAACTCTCCCTTCCACCAATGGCTTCTGGACAACATCAGCAACGAGGAGAAAGGATTGGAGTTTGGGGTTATCTGCTGGAATCTCTGGAAACAACGCAATGAAGAGGTGATGGACGGAAAGCAATTCCAGGAGCAAGGATTGTACTGTCGTATCAAAGCGTGGTTCAACATCATTAAGAACGCTCAAAAATGGATGCAAAGTGTCACCAACACTGCTGAAAGAAATGCCCAACAATGTCAGATTGCTTGGGAACCACCGCCTGAAGGGTGGATTCAAATCCAGACTGATGGTTCAGTCTTGCCACAATCAGGGACTGCTGCTGCAGGTGGACTGTTAAGGGATCACCTAGGGAGATGTAAGATGGCCTTTGTGTGCAACCTTGGAAAATGCTCCATTACGAGTGCAGAACTCAAAGGAGCAGTGACGGGACTCAGACTTGCGTGGGATAAAGGCTACAGAAGAGTTCACCTCAACTTGGACTCTACTACTGCAGTTGGCATCATTATGAACAATGCAGAAGATGATCATCGCCATGTGTATAGAGAGGCAAATTTTGCTGCTGATTTTCTTGCAGCTAAGGGCCATCTTGTTGATTTTGGTACACATCTTTTCAATGTGTACGACCCTGAACTTGAACATTGGCTTTTGCACGACATCATGGGAATTCCCCATGATCGTCTGATTATTAATACGATTTAGACGCTAGTCGTCGACCTTCTACCAAAAAAAGTAAATGACTCGCATTAAACAGCCCATGTTTAAGCTATCCATCGGCAATAAAAAGTTCAATATTGCAAAGGTGACAAGAAATGAGATTGGGCTTTGTTAAAAGTTTGTAAATTTATCCTTCAGATGGTTCACCTTTTGTTACTCTTGAATTATTTGTCGACAAATTGAACAGCAAAATCACAACTCTGAACTGATCGAACCTAAAAGAAAGTAAAATCAAAGATGATCAGATCGGGATCGTGACGGCCCCCCAAGAAAGGGAAGAACTCACTAAACACTAATCATACCCTCCCTCCCTCCCTAAAGTCTAAGAAGAAGAAAAAACAAACAAAAGATATCTCAAATGGGTGGGAGTTCAGATAACTCCTTAATCCTTATTGTTGTCACCGGTCAAAAGGTTGTACCAAAAGTCCATGCTAGTATAGTCCACAATCGAGTGGGCCAGGCCTGCCGCCGCCGCCTCACCACCTTTCGGCCCATCACCCTCACTACTCACAAACGAACCCAACGGATCATCGTATAACCCGGATCCAAGTTCCGCCGCCGGGAAATCGTGGTCGGTCGAGGTAGAGCTGTCCGCCGACAGAACCTCCGACCAAAAACTCTCGTCCATCTCCTCCGTGGAAGAAAAATCATCGGGCTTCGCGTCGTTGCTTTGGGCCCCACCGTTGTCCCCCGTCGTCAGGGAGGACACGTCGTCGCTGGAGTACTGCCGCAGCAGCGAAGCAGGCGGAGGAGCCACGCCTGGAGATGATGGCTTTAATTCCTCCTTCGCCTCTGCCTCCTCCGCCGCCGCCGGCGGTTTGGTTTGTTGATCCGGCTTAACGCTGGCGGTCTTGGATTTTTTGGAGGCGGATCGTCGCTTCTTAGTAGTAGGCTGTTGTTGTTGTTGATGATTATTAATATTATTGCTGTCGTCGTGGTTGGCGGCGGCCTTCTTCTTCAAGTGAGTGTGCCACACATTTTTAATCTCGTTGTCCGTTCGGCCAGGTAATTTTGCCGCTATCGTCGACCATCTGTCATATCGTAATGAGACAAATATTACTAGCCAATACCAAATCGGTAATGTATGGTAGTACATAAGATTATAAAATGGTGGTATGAAAGGGTACCACAGTGTGGAATAGTTGTATATATTATAGAAGAAATATAGTAATCGCCATTTACAACCTTTTAATCACCGTCTAGCTACCACTAGCTACGAGCCTAAGAACACTATAACAAGGTGGTATATCTGGTAACGATGAACTCGTTCCTTCTGTGCAAAATTTGAGTTCAAAATAAATGCGATACGAAGTGTGACAACAAGTTACGTCTGTACAATGAAGAAGATACCATTCGATTCAAAAACTAAAAAAATAATGTCATTTTAGTTTAAATTCTTTAAATATGCTCACACATAAAATCAAGTTTACGATCTTACCATTACCCTTCTTAATTACTGCCAATCAATGGTAACTTTTAGAGTGGTTTATTAAGAAGAAGAATAATAATATATAAATGTTTGTACACATATGTTGTCACGTGAGCGGGGAGGAATAAGTAATAATGTGCAGTTTTGTTTGGAAGTGTGAGGTAGGCAAGTAGGGCTGATCCACACACATATGAATGAATATAATAATTTGGGATGGGGAAATGGAATCCGAATATTAATGAATGAGTGATGCCGGTCCGGAGGGAGGGAGGGGGAGATCATTGATTTTGATTCCCATCAACCTTGGAAAATCCACATACAGTTGCTAGCTTAGCTAGCCCCCAATTAGGTGATGAAACTAGGGATGACAAAAATATCCGTAACCGTGGATATTCACCTGAATCCGACTTTGTTGGGTAGGGTAAAACTCGAACTCGAACGACTTTTAACGAGTTTGGGTTACCCGAACCCGAATATTGCAGGTAATGGGTGGACATGGTTTTCTCACTATCCAACCCGAACCCGCCCGATATACACATGCATGTGCATTTTTTCTAGAAAAATCGTCATTTTTCTCTAACATATTTTATATTTAGCATATAAATATAAATTTTTCATGAAATTGTGTTGTTTTAATGAATTTTCTGCATTCTAGTGAATTATTATCATAATTTTTGTCTTACGTAATGTGAGAATACATGTAAATATTAACATATTGGTTGGAGTTATAAGAAGAAACTATTATCCATGGATACCGGTAAATACCCGAAACCCGAACGAGTATGGGCATGGTTTTTATTTTCTACCCGTTTTTTATGTGGGTATGGGGTATGGATAAAACCCGAACTACTTTGAATAGGGTAACGAATATGCACTATCTGTCCTCGACCCGACCCATTGCCATCCCTTGATGAAAAACCGGTCAGTCACAATATTGGAGATTAGGATACCACTGCACACACTCACACTCTGCACTCAGCAGCAGCACTCCCCAGATATTTTGTTTTTTTAAAAATAAATCAATCTCTGAATGCCCAAAAGGCTCATGTGTATAATTTTTTTTTTTATTTGAAAAAAAAAGTATCCATCTCCGGCCGTGGGATTGGATGATCCAGATCACGGCCAGTTTAGTAAAATTGACTCGGCTGCCAACGGAATACTTTATTATTTTATAATAGAGAATAAAGGATCAATTCAATTTTGATGGCCCGATTATGAGTAGTAGTAGTAGTAGTGTTGGGTTTCCAATGCTAGCCTAGCTTGAATTGTGGTTACATTATTTACATAGATTATCCTCTACGTTTCCTTGCTACCATCATTATTCATTAGTTACCCACCAGCAGGGCAGAGCAAGCAATTCAGGTTTGAACTTGACCATCCATTATATTCGTTGAATAAAACGTTTTCAATTTCAACCGATCCACTAAGCAACCAAAAAGAAGAAGCAAAATGAATGACCTGTTGCCCAAGAGGTTGTGCAGTTCAAGGATGGTGTGTTCCTCTTGAAGGGAGAAGTTGCCGCGTTTGATGTCAGGCCTCAAGTAATTGGTCCACCGGAGCCTGCAGCTCTTGCCGCACCTCAACAGCCCTGCAATCATCATCCATCTTCACTGCTCAAAATCCCTCAACAACAACAACAACAACAAGGAGGAGGAGAAGAAGAGGAAATGGGGTTACCGGCGAGCTTGGGGAGGGCGCGCCAGTTGCCGTGGCCGTGGAGGTGAATGTAATTGACCAGAATCTGGTCTTCCTCTCCGCTCCATGGCCCCTTCTTCAGCCCCATCTTCTCGCAGCATGGCGCTCGAACCATTTTCTCACAACACAGAGCAGAGAAGAGCAGAGCAGAGCAATACAAGGAAGGATGTGCTCTCTCTCTGTTTCGTATCTCTCTGCTTGCTTTACATGTGCTTCTGCTGTGCAAGTGTGTGATAAAAATTAAAAATGATGAGAATGGGGACAAGGGTTTGGTGGTTAAAATATAAAAGGCTGGGCTGGGGGCGAGGCGAGGAGGCGGCCTCGGAGTGGGGGCTGTACTATATGCACATATTTCTTTCTTTTGGGGTGAAACCATGACAAAAGCATGGTGCTATACTACTCTCCTAATACTAGTGTGTTTGTGTTTTTTTTTTCTTCCTTTAAACATTATTGTCCTTGTTTAATAGGACAAAAGACAAGGTGCCATGCTTTATTCATTCATTTGTAGGAGATTATTATCTCTATTTTCTTTTTACCATTTCTTGTCTTGTCGTTACATAATAGAGTTTCATTATATAAAGTGGAATATATATTCAACAAGAGGGAGGGGTAAATAATTTTGATCTTATGATTTACTAAACGGATCACTTAAGATCGAGCTTTGAATTTATATGAAGTTGAAGTGCACACACTAATTAATCCTAACAAGGATAACGCACTAGAACGCCCTTGTGATGATCCTTTAATCCGACAACATCTAGGGTTTTTAACAACTGCTAATCTAGTGGGAAGTTATTAGCATTACGTTCATGCATAACTTCCATAGTTCATTTGCGCTTAGCAAGAAAATGCAGGTGCACCATGACTTTTTCCTTTGAACAGAATTCAAACGCAAGAAACAAAAGCTACATTGCAGTTATTCACGCAAGGCACGATTGGTTATGGATAAGACTGCAGGTAGAACGACTGCGCATGCCAAGTGTTTGCGAAATTGCACCAGAGAAAGTAGCTATAGGGAATTTTAAGAGAACATCATAAAACGGGAAAAGGGAGCACTCACGAAGAGGTAACCGTCGAGTTCGAACTGGAAACGACGGGAGACAGAAACAGCGGCTTCAATTAAGCAGACTGCCATTGCTTTTTCTGGCTCTTACTTTGGCAAATAGATTTTCACACATATAGTATTGGTAGCCTCAAGGATTGTAAAAATATATCAGAGATTATATTGGAAAAATTAGTGACAACATATTTTGTATTTAAAGTATAATTTAAATGTTGTTCAACCATTTCATACCAAGTCGTTAGATAATTTTTCCGATTAGATTGCATATGCAACGATCGGAATTGTACATATCCAAACATGTTGGTAGTAAAATACAAGCACAATCCAACTCAATAAAATTGAAAAAGCATAAAAGTTAAAATTCAAAAGCTTGGACTGTACATCAAGGTTGTTCCTACATATAAAAGAAGACGCTTGGTGAGGACTGAGGAGGCAAAATACAAGCACAATCCAACTCCATCCCCGAGTATAAAGAAACCATCGTCAATCAGCAAGAGAAGCAGAAATTGCTTACAGGACGAAAGATCGCTCCGTTGCAGAAGGAACAATCCTAAGGGCTCCTCTTTCCTGGTCTTGTAATGACAGAGTTCATCCTTCTGCTGGTGCCCACTGATTTTTTCACATCAAATCAGGATCATCATCATAGTCAAAGTCAGGATCCACTGAAGCCCTGACTCTCTTGGCATCTCTTGGTGTGCCTCTTCCCCTCTTTGGTTTTCCTCTGAACATTACGGATGGATGAGATTAGGTTCATTGTAAGATCAAGTATCGTTCAGGTAGCTCTTTTAGACGCTACTCGAAGTGCCAGCAACTTCACAACGTGATGATAGAATACTTACTGCCCGTTTGAATATATGCCGCCACCCTTGGACCGACCAGGATCAAAGTCTGATTTGCCATCTAAAATATACACAAATGAGGAAAAAATCCAAAACTACCACTGTTTTAAAAAAAATTTACAAAAATACCACTCACTCCAAAGAATTTCCAAAAATACCACCCTTAATTTAAAACCGCCCCCCTGATGAGCGGTTTTCAATGAAACCGCGCCTCTAAGAGGCGGTTTCCTATCTAACCGCTCCTTGGAGGAGCGTTTATATTTTCTGGAGTAAACCGCCTCTGCGAGGCGCGGTTATATGGTCAACCCTACCAGAAAACGCTGGTAGAGGGAGCGTTTTATTGTCGGCAAGCAAACCGCCTGGGGAAGGGGCGGTTTACATTGTCAGGACACAAACCGCTCCTCTGGGGCGCGGTTTGTGCCTGGTCACCCGACATCCGACATGTCGGCATGCAGGGGTAGGGCTGCATGGCAGACCCAAAACCGCTCCCCCCCCAAGCGGTTTTGGTGCAAAATTTGCCTATAAAAGGCTGTTTCGGAGAACACAATTCTTCACACTTCCTTCCTCAAATTTCAGCTTTGCACCTTTAAATTATTTAGTTTTTGCGATTAACGTTAATTCGTAAGTTTGTTTCGTAATTACTTTTCATTGTCTTTGTGATTTTATGTTAGTAACTTAATTACTTTTGATTGTCCTTTGTGATGTTATGTTAGTAACTTAATTACTTTTCATTGTCATTTGTGATTTTATGTTAGTAATTTGAATTACTTTTCATTGTCCTTTGTTTATTAGATATTGTATATTTGTTGTACAATAATTTACATAATTGTTAATCGTATTGATTATTTTCAATAGTTTAAATCAATACAATACAACACTTATTGAGACTCTTTATAAAGAAATGCATGTCTAAGGAAATGGGGACTTAAGCGATCATCATGATCCCCCCATGACCTGGGAAAATCGGGTTCTAAGCGATCCTCGGATCCCCCCTTTTTCTGTCAAAAAGACTGTGTTTCTAAGGAGATGTATACCTCTCCTAAGAGTCTTACGAGTGTACTTGTATTGTTTTAAATTATTGAAAATAATCAATACGATTAACAAAATAATTTTTATGTTAGTAACTTGTGTTACTTTTCATTGTCATTTGTGATTTTATGTTAGTAATTTGAATTACTTTTCATTTTTCTTTGTGTTGTTATGTTAGTAACTTGTGTTACTTTTCATTGCAGATGGCATTCCAAAGGTTCACGCTTGGGTTGCGGTGGAATGGTTACACGGAAGAGACCGAAAAGGGTGTAAGCTACGTCGGTGGCAATTTTCATAAAATGAAGGTCCGTACGAGACCGATGCTTGAAGAGCTCCACCGAAAGTGCACTGAGATTACCTGCATGGATGGCAGTAGAAGAGTTGATCGAATGGTGTATCGATATCCAAACAGACATGACGGGTCCCTGTGGCATGAGGAATTCCTCCTTAACACTCAGGAGGACGTTGATGCCATGGTCCAATTTTTGACCACCAATACAATTAAGCAAGCGGAGATGTTCGTTTACACCGAGGCCGTCGAAGGCAGTGTAGGTCATTCTGGAGATGGCCAAACATCTGATATCCACGGTGGGAGTGTATTATACGAAGATACTCCCCACCAGGATTTCCATGCCTCGAGTTGGAGTCAGGAGTATCATCATGGTACTGGAGGAAGTCATCAATCCTTCCATTCATATGAAGAAGAAGCTCAACAGGCGGATTACAACCAACAAGCAGTCTACCAGTACCCACCCGAGTACAACTTCTATCAAAGCGGTGTTAGTTACCACAACTACCATTACGGAGCTAGTGGAGGTCAAGGTGCCTTTCATGCTGAAAATCAGATGGAAGAAGAGGTCAATCCAAGTCCAGTTAGTGACCATGAGGTTGAAGAAGAGGAAGGCGAAGTTAGTGCAGACAGCTCCGATCCGCTGGAAGGTGCTGATGATTCCGGTCCAGATTCAGACGCAGATGGTGATGAGGTACCTCACGACCGTGTACCTATTCCATACTACAATCACATTCAAAGTGAAGATTGGTATGTTGATGCCGACATGGACCCGCCAGATGTGCCATTATGGGGTCCACTAACTGGCTTTACGAAGGGCCAACAATTTGCAACGAAGAATGAGGTTCGACACGCTATTTCCACTGAAGCAATGACTCGGAGTTTTGAATGGCAGACAACCCATTCCGACACAAAGAGGCTGATGGTTCGATGCAGAAACCACAATGAGGGATGCACAGCTAGGGTCCGGGCCATCAGGAGCAAGAGAGTCGGTCATTGGGTCATATCCCGTGCGGTGAACACACACACATGTGTGTCATCAATAACATCACAAGGCCATCGACAGTTGAAATCAAGGGTGGTTGCCGCGGCTATCAAACATCTAATTGAGGAGCAGCCCGACCTGAAGGTGAAAACCATCATCGCCCACATTTCTAGTCGTTATGGTTATATCATTAACTACAAGAAAGCGTGGCATGGGAAACAGAAAGCAATGGCTGCCGTGTTTGGTGACTGGGAAGAATCATATGCATTCCTTCCCAAACTGATTTTGGCGTTGGAGGTGTCTAACCCTGGAACCATTTTCTCGCCTCGCTACCAAGATGAAGAAATTCAATCGCCGGTTGCTGGTAACAATCGTCAATTCAAGCGTCTTTTCTGGGCCTTCAAGCCATGTATTGATGGTTTCCCATACTGTGTTCCTGTGATTCAAGTTGATGGAACATTCCTTACCGGCAAGTACAAGGGTACTCTACTGATTGCCAGCGGAGCAGATGCAAATCGATTAGTATATCCATTAGCCTTTGCCATTGTGGAGGGAGAGAATACCGATAGCTATGGATGGTTCTTCAGACAAATTCATCTCCATGTCACCAGACGGACGAACTTGACTATCATCTCAGATCGCCACGCCGGTATACGGGCTGCTATTTTAGGCTTGGATCCAGCCTGGAACTGGTCACAGAGATGGTGCATCCGGCATTTCAAGAGCAACTGGAACCATCATTTCAAGCGAAGGAAGCTTGCTGACAGTCTATGGTGGATTGGTAAGCGTTCTAATTAATTGACTAGCTGTAAATTTTTAAAACTGTATACAAGTATTGAGTGTATTGGCTTTTAGGTCGATCTTGCTTTTCTCACGTTTTTATTATATTCATCAGCTGTCGCGTACCAAGAGAAGAAATTTAAAGAGAAGATGCAGAATATCCGTCAAATATGCCCTGAAGGTGCGCAGTGGCTTGATCAACATGACCTTGAAATGTGGACTTTTCATAAGGACGGAGGTCACAGATGGGGTATTGCCACAACAAACTCAAGCGAGAGTATCAACAACGTCTACAGGGAATGTCGTGCACTACCCATCTCTGCAATTGTTGAGATGACATTCTGGAAAACAAACAAATGGTTCGTCAACCGTCTCCACTGGTGTGAGAAGAGGGAGGCGCTCGGTAAGGTACACTCCGATTATGTATTGAAAATAATGGAAAAAGATAATCGGAAGAGCTCTCGTCACACAGTCACTGTGATGAACCGTCATGCTGGCGAGTATTCGGTCGAGACTGGGCACTGGGAGGATGGGAGACGTGGTGGTCATCGCCATGAAGTCACCATAAACTTTAGGACTAAAAAGGGGGAGTGCTCCTGTCAGAAGTATCAAGGTAGAGGGATACCATGTTCTCATGCAATGGCTGCAATAAAGCACAGGAGCAAAGACCCTCGTCATTTCGTTAGTCCGTTCTTCAACATTGACTCACAAAAGAGCAGTTATCGTACTAGTTTCCGTGCATTGCCGGATGAAGCTTACTGGCCAGTTTATGAGGGTATGGTCATCATTCCACCAATCGGTCTTAGGCGGGAAACAGGGCGCCCGCGGCGAAAAAGGATTCCAAATGAAATGGATCAAAGTGGAAGACCACCGCGAGGGCCAAGGCGGTGTTCCATATGTAAAGTACCCGGTCATGATAAACGAAAATGTCCCGGACCAATTGGTCCTCAAAATGCTGGGCCCGATGTGGATGTCCCGGATAATGGCGCTTAAATTGATTTTATGCGTGTGTTCCATCTTTGTGTATTAATTTCAATGGTTACTCTACTTGCATGTTGTGTGCTTAAATGACATTGTAGATTTGCACAATTAACAAACTTTGGTGCAATTTTTCCATCTTTTTTAATAAAACACATCACGACTTCAAGTAGCACTACTTTGTTCAACTTAAGTTAACTCGTATTGATTATTTTCAATAATTTAAAGCAATACAAGTACACTCGTAAGACTCTTAGGAGATGTATACATCTCCTTAGAAACACAGTCTTTTTGACAGAAAAAGGGGGGATCCGAGGATCGCTTAGAACCCGATTTTCCCAGGTCATGGGGGGATCATGATGATCGCTTAAGTCCCCATTTCCTTAGACATGCATTTCTTTATAAAGAGTCTCAATAAGTGTTGTATTGTATTGATTTAAACTATTGAAAATAATCAATACGATTAACAATTATGTAAATTATTGTACAACAAATAAATTACTTTAACAAAATACAAATTACAAGTGATGATAAATAATATGTACCTTATGGTCGTTCCAAACGTCTCTTGAACGATGATTTGCTTGATCGTATAAAACTGTCGGATCAATCGGTCCTTGATCAACGTAATATCGTTGATTGAAAATATCAACATCCGGCCCAACCTAGGATAGCATAACAATAACATAAATCATTAGTATATAAAATAAATAAATCATTATAACAACAACAACAATTGGGAAAAATGAATACGTACCGTTTGATAATCATCATAAAAAAGACCCTCTTCTTGAGCGAAATCGGCCATTCTCTCGGAATCCGGACAGAGGTTCGACGGTTTTTTAGTGAAAACCAAAGAAAAGTTTTTTGGAGGCAGATCGGACTTAGGCCGCAACCAACAAAAAAACTAATTCTAAGGTTGGGTGGGGAGGGGTTGGGTGGAGAGAAGTTAGAGGGAGAGAGGGGATGTGGTGGATGGTGTGCAGAAATGAGAAGGGGGGGGGGGGGTTTATAGCCAGCAAACCGCGTGGGGGGGGGGGCGGTTTTGTAATTTCTCGCCACTAAAAACCGCGCCTCCACCACGCGGTTTGCTTTTCCCGATGGTCAAACCGCGCCTCGGGGACACGGTTTGCGTTTTCCAAACGGTCAAACCGCGCCTCGGGGGAGCGGTTTCTGTGGGGGACGCGGATCGCTTGGTTGGCAGCCGTTTTAGCCGTTAGATCGCTCCCCGGGCAAGCGGTTTGATGCACCGCCACGTGGCAACGCGGTTTGACAGCCATGCACGGTCAAACCGCGCCTTGGGAGCGCGTTTTACATTGTAACCGCCGCCTGGGAGCGCGGTTTATCTATAAACCGCCATTTAGAGGCGCGGTTTTAAATTAAGGGTGGTATTTTTGGAAATTCTTTGGTGAGGGTGGTATTTTTGTAAATTTTTTTTAAAACAGTGGTAGTTTTGGATTTTTCCCACAAATGAAGGTCAGAAATTATCTCTTTAAAAGAACAAGTTACAACTTTACTGTTTGGTAGAGTCACATCCCGCCACTGTTACTTTTTTGCTTTTTACTTGTGCTCATCATTTCTCAATTGACTTTACTTGTTTTGCTTTTTCTGACCAAAGGGAGACTTTTTATTACTTATCCCTTCTTTCTTCCTCATGTCTAATCCCCCATTCCTCTCCATCTTTCTAGATCTGCTTTCTCTCTCCTTCTCTCTTTTGTGCTGAACGACGAAGAAGAAGCAAGGTGAAGAAGAAGAAAAGGAAGATCGAGATATGGGTGAAGCAGAACATGGAGGAGATCACAGAAGAATCCGGCGAAATAGAGCACCAACCGGAACTCACAGATTATCCATCAAGATAAAGTCGGTTCCTTTCTTCTAGATTTTTCTGGGTTTTTGTTCAATATCGTTCTTGGAGTTCTTCCTGCTTTCTGTTTTTGCTTCTGATTCTTGTTTTTTGTGATAAAGTCGGTTCCTTTCTTCTAGGTTTTTCTGGGTTTTTGCTTCTGATTCTTGTCGTACCCCATCGCGGCCGTCGGGAACCACCTCTGCAGCTTCGCCTCGCTGAAATGGGTACCCTCTTTACTCTGACCTAGCCTTTTCCTTCCCCTTCTCACCGAGGCGCTGCTCGCTGCCGTCTCCCTCTAAAACTCGCCGACTGAAGTCCACCTTCGAAGCTTGGCGGCTGAATCACAGGTAATCCTCTAATCCCAACTTACTCATTATCTTCAGCTTGGGGAGATCCATCCCTTATTCTTCTGTTTCTCCATCTCTGGTTGCTGGTCCGGTGGGCGAGGCAAGGAAATAACAGCTTTTGGATCTTCTTCTTCCGTTTATGGGTTTGTCTCTAGCGCTGGCTATTGAAATCGTAACTTGGCCTGGGTTTTCAAGACAGACATTCAAATCACTTGGTGGGTTTGTGAAGCTCTCCCTTGCCTCTGCCATTATGTTGCGGTAACAAGGAATTCATTAGTTTGTTTATGTAGTTTTGAAGTTCATTGACGTGAGCTTCTTGGATCTATCTATAGTAGGGAATTGTGTTTCTTAGTGCAATGTTCCCTTGCTAGGTCCTGCTGCCCTCATTGTTAACTAAGAATTGCGTGCATTTTCCTATCGAATTGATGGTGGTCTGCAGTTTGTATTTGCTCTGTACAATGTAAACACATGGACCCTAAGAGAAGGTATTAACTATACTTTGTTTCACTTGTGCTAGATTGGCTGCAACTGAAGAGATATGCGATTAATATGACTGCTAGAATGCAAATAAGGAATACTAAGGACCTAGAAAGCGTTGTTCTGTGAGTCAATCCTGCTAGGTTGGTATATTACATAAAGTAAGCTTTCATGAACTTGTGCTTATCGCTGCTTCCTCTAACATTTCTACTCTCCATTTCTATCCTTCTCAAACTAAAAGGAGGTTGGCCTCTGTTTCATTGATTGATGGGGAAAGATGAGAGGATGGGATGGCTATGGTAGCTCATTTGAGATAATTTGAAAAATGGAGGGAAGCAGGACTTACTTTCTAGGTAAACTTTTCCTTTTCCTTACTCGGTTTCGGTAATGTTGTTCATGTGCGGCTTCAGTCTTCTTTATTTCATGGATTTTCAGGTCTAGCCTTTTTTTTATTATCTTTGCATACTTTAAGGATTTGGTTCATTATTTGGTTGGCAGGGGAAGAGGAGAGGGCCAGTTTAACAGAGGAGAAAGAAGGCAAAGCCAGGTAACTTACTTTTTGGAGGTTCATTATTTAATAGATAAATGAGGTTCTCTGGACATTGCTTTGTTCCATGACTAATTCGCTTTTACCTTGATTTCCAGAACTTTGGACACTTACATAGCAGTATATCATCCCAACCATCAAACAACTCCACAACGGGTATGTTGCTGAAATATATGTTGTTATCATCTATGGTAAAAAGCATAATGGTTCTTTGTTTTGGCTACAAATCTCTACTTTTGTTTGATTTGGTTGGCCATAACTCTAATTTCCATTCTTTCTTCATCCCGATCAATTCCGAGAATTCATGTTGCGAATGAAGAATCTCCTCTCTTTCTTTCTCCGAGTTCGTTTCGCCTAGAACTCCCCTTTCTCTGTCTATGTTCTGCACCCTGTAGAGATGGAGTCACTAAGGGATGGAGAGAAACAAAAAGGTGTTGATGAAATGGAACATGATCTCAAAGATCTCTAGGTTGTTTACTGCCGTTTATTTATTTGCCATCTTTGTCTTTGAGTGGTCGAAGTTTTGCTCTTTAGAACTTCTCATTTTCATGACATTTGTGCTCCCTAGGAACAAGCTCCTCTCGGTTGGTGGTGTTAAAAGCTTTATATAATGAGAGGATAACAGTGCTGGAGCAGTTGTCTCATTACAGGCTGATTGGTCCTTGCATTTTAGGTCCGATTACTATATTCTGTTATCGAATTCATTGACTTAAGAGTTTTTCCTTGACGGAACTGTTTTCCTGATAGACTCATTGAAAAAGGTAACAAAATTGAACCAGGGAGACGGGCTGTGGATTCCTGGAGTTGGTCAGTTGGAACTGCCATCAAAGGATTAGTGCAGTATAGGAATTGCTCCAGTCAAGGAAGCCTTCTCCTCGGTGAGTCCTTTAATAGTGACAACATTGTGGATTTAATTATGATTATTGTGTCAATTTAACTCCATGCCTGATGAACCAAGTTGTAATCCACCTTTGGAGATACATAGTGACCACGAAAAGCAAGTGTGGTTCTTGCTACTGGTTCCAGTTGTCAGGTTAGTTTCGGTTTATATGTTCTTAGACAAGTCGTCTCCAAGTATCTTCTAAAAGGGATAGAAACAATAGAAGCTATCTCACTTTGTAATCTGGTTTGAAAGCGGACTATGCAGACTTTTACTTTTTACAAATTGCATTGTATGATCTGATCCTTTTTTTACTCATGAGTCATGGCTTCAGTCTCATTGCAGTTGCCCTCTCAGGAACATGATCCGAAGGAGATGGGCATAGGTAATGAGAAATAGGCAAGGAGACTGCAGTATCATCCAGTGGAGAACAAAATGATAGGAACACCGAGGAGTTACTAAGAGCAGGTGCATCATTTTTCTATTGGTTTGCTTAGTCTATTTCCAAAATTCTGGATCATTAATGATAAGATTCTTTGTGAACCAGCTTTAGTTGTGGGTCAACTAATTATTTTTATTGGTGGTCAGGGGTGTGGGAGAGTGTATACAGAATAGAAGATTACCTCTTTATCAGTTTTTTAAACATGAAAGGACCATAAACAATCCAAAAAAGAGCTTCTGCAGAATATAATGGTAGGTGTTGAACTTCGCTGGTTTATTGATTGTTTGCAGTGCTTCGTTCTGTGTATGCCTCTTTCGACCAGTAGTTACGCTCTGTTGACTCCATCACTCATGCAAAAATCCTTTCCTTTCAGGAGGGAAGAGCAATCGTTTGAACAATGAAGGACAGCGAGGTTATGTTTTATTCCCAGCTGTCACCGTACATATCTCACCGTTTCAAGAGGGAAGCGCAATTGTTGATTCAATAATAAGGACCATAGCAATGTTAGTTTTCTCTGCTCCTTCTGTATGCCACCCATCCATAATTTGGTCCTTGCAGGTCAACACTTCCACTCCTTTTTGCCTCACAGATTCTATGTTGGGATTTACAGATTTTGCTTCTTAACTTAAGTTCATTACTAATGCTCTATCGTTGCTTTCAGTTCCGGAAATAGGGATATGTTCTGCGAGATCGGGTAAGAGCAATGCAGCTGAAAGTTTCAAAGCAAAGATATTTTTATCAGTGGATGTATGGATCACTATTGGGGAAAAGGTACAGCCTGGTGGGAACGATTGCTGTATGTGGGAACTTTCAGCCAATGTATAACTCTGAAGAAACCAAAAAAGGTAACGATCTCTTCCTCTTCGCTAACTTCCAGTTGATTGATCTAGCGAGGTGATGCATAATGAATAAACTGTTTTGTTTGGAATTTGCTCAAACAATCAAAATGGTTAAGTATTATCTTATATCTACTTATGCCATTACTCTCTTTAGATATCATTACAAGGCAACAAACTATTCCTTTTCTCTGACTTTTGGTGTCGCTTCATCTAGCTAGCTAACACATAATGAATGTCACTGTGTTTGCTCTGGTTTTTTTCTAATCCGGTTAGAGGAGGCTCGCATGCTATGCTTTTGCATCATGCTCCTTTGACACTGTTTTACTTGAAATTCGTGTTTCCCTTTCCTGTGATATGTTGCTCACTCTATATTTTTGCTTACAATTACGTTGCTTTTCTCCAAATGAAACATTGACATATACGAGCTCAAACAGGTTGCTAAAACAAATGCCGATAACCTGTGTATATTGCAGGCAACTTATGGTTGCCGCACTATGGTACAGAGAGCTACACAATTAGGACTTGGTTTCTTTCTCCAGTTTTTTTTTTCGTTAAAGGCACACCATGACAATGTATATTCTTTTCAGTATGCTATCTGTAATCTTTGTTTCCATCTCACAGTACACACATCAATGTTAGGTTATGCTGAATGTTAAGTTCAGTCGGGTTTGTGAATTTGTTTTCTTTTTACTTCATATTAGCTGGTTCCGTCTGTCTGCATAGGATCTCTCTGTGTGGTTGGTTTAATCCTTACTTGAATCCTACTGCCACATGTGAGAGCTGAGCTTGGGGTTTGATGGGAAGGACGATTAGAAGAGTACACCAAGATCCTTAACTCTCTTAAAATCAGTGGGAGAGGTTAAGTCAGCAGCTGAATTGCTTCACAATCTTGGTTTGCTCTGTTTTGGTTTCAGCTGGTGATATGAGAATACTGAACTGAGCTATTAGTGTCGGAGTGGTATGCCTCCTTTTTGTATGACCTGGGGTAACCTTTTAGTTTATTCGTTAGTGACCTGTAGTCGCAATGATTATACTAGCCCCTGTATTGCTAAATTTAGAAGTACCATCTGTTTTGGTTCTCGAATACTTAGGTTTGTTAATGTTGAAAATCTGCATTCTGTGTGTCTACATGATGCCTTGGTCATTTTTTCTTTCCCTTTCCAAATGAAGTCTTATAGATATTATGATATGGGATTGACATGCCAGTGACTCTCCTTCAGCACTCGGTTTTCATTGGAATGAGATTTTGCTATGTTATGTTATTACTCTACACTGCTGTACTGCTAAGACATGAGCTAGAAGCTTTCATTATCAAAGCTTACAATCATTAGAGTAATTTGCAGAGTTGATTTGGTTTTGGGATGAACAATTGTTATAGATGATTTTATGAAGTTTGTTATGCTGCTTTGGATCATTGAGTTTTTTTCATGAAATTTAGCCTTTTATTTTTTGGAATTAGCTATTATGCGGTTTAGAAAGTACTCACCTCTACGATGGATACTTAGGTTGATGTGCTTTGTGCAAAGGGCTGCCATGAGAGGAGATATGCTGTTGTCTATTTAGTGTTTTGTTATGTACTTTATTTAGCTTAATTGCATTTGAAAATTGATTTCGTGTTTGCCTAATTCAACTATCCATTTGTATCCTAAGGAATTCATTGGCACTGCTATATTTGAGATCATGTGTACACTATGAATCGATCAAGCTATCTGACATGCATTTCATACAACGTTCAACCATTGAGGGACAAGGTACAGGCTCTGGTGCTGATTTTTGCTTCTTCAGTGGATGTAGGTTTTGTTGTTCTTTTAGTCCATATAATGCAATAGCAACAAGCCTTTTGCTTTTCTATTTTGTTTTCTCCATCCTTTTAATTGCCTCCATTCTCCTTATTGCAGCACAGAAGTTATGTGAAAGGGCTAATCACAATGGTATCATTCACCATTCCCTTTATCAAATGGACCATGCCCCTTAACAATCAAAGGCTAGCCATGGAGTAGTTAAGAGGTCTGAAGTTGCAGTTCTGGACTGTGCTCTTTACAGCTACTTATGTTTGTAAGCTCTTATATAAAACATGTATTGTTGGGTAGAGTCACATCCCGTTACTGTTACTTTTCTGCTTTTTACTTGTTCTCATCATTTCTCAATTGACTTTTCTTTGACGTTGGAGTTGGTCCTGTCACATTCAACACTTTCTCTCTTATCTCTCAAGCAGAGGAAGAAAAGAAAAGAACGAAAAAATAAACAACAACTTTCTCTTACTTTCTCTCTTTATCATTTTGATATTTTTTGGGTTGCTTTTCTTTCTTCCCATTTCCAGCCACATGAACCATTCTCTCTCTCCTTCTCTTTCACCTCTCTCTTATCTCTTTTCACCCGCTCAATCCTACCTGCAACATGAAGAAGAAAGGAAAAAAAGAATCAGCATCTCACCTCTCTCTTGAAGAAGAAGTGAGGATGCAGTTGAACAACGAGTTTGTAGGGGCATCCCGGCATTGATGATCGCGATCGCAGGTGACAGCGCCGGTTTACGGGCTCAGCGTCGACGGCATCTAGCATAAGCGGGCGGTGAGAGTACACCGACGATGGCGGCGATGGATATGGTAGTGGGGCGCTGCGATGGCTTGGAGCTGCCTGGCGTCGACGGGATCGACGATGCTGGCTGGTGCGGATGGAGGGTTGTCGCTGACTCTACTGAACCCTTAGTTTCTCAATGGATTTATCGAACTTAAATCCACGCCGGTGTTGAGCTTGCGTATGGGATACAAGTTGAAGGGTGAGTTTTGAGCTCTTTTTCGTTTTTTTATTTATTACTTTTAGGGTTTTAAAATTTGCTAAAACGTTGTTTTCTGATGGAGGAATTAGCTTGCTAAGTTGTCGGTTGACTTCTGATGGAGGAAGAGTTGTATTTGGGGACAACCCCTTCAACGTGAACAACGGCAGCAAGAACAAAAAATACAACAACAAAAAAAAAACAGCAAAAGAGGAGGCGGGTGAAAAGATAGTGTCTTCTTCAATCACAGTAGGTGCTTCTGTCTCTATTTATTATTTTTACATTCGTCGCATCGGAGCATAGCTTTCTCACTCATTCCTTTCTGAATCTTCCAAAATTGAATGCACCCAATGATCTCAATCCTTCTTCCCCATCAAATATGTGGTCGTTTGCGCCCGGTGGTGGTGGTGATGCTGGCTGGAGGAGAGAAGAGATGGAGTTGCCATGTGGCGGGGGCGAAGGTGGTTGTGGAAAAGGGACCGAAGGAGCAGGCATAAGTGGATTTGCCCATCCAGGAAGAAAGACGAAAAGAAGAGATGGAGGTGAAGCAAAAATCGAAGGTAAGTGAATCTGAAAGAGTGACGATATAGAGTATCATTGTGTATCTTCGTAGGAAGAAGCTGCAACTCATGTTTCTTACACCCTCATAGTTGGTACGCAATCCATGATCCAAACTTGCTATTTTCCAGTCTTACGTCACTTGAAATATAACCTACATTGATCGCAAGCACGATTCTTTACTTTGTTAGTTTGTATGTAGCAAGTTTGTGAGTTCATCTCGAATATTTGGTTAGTCCTTAAACATGTTAACTGCTTTATTTGTGATAAATCCAATTGATGCTCTTTGCTGTTATTATCCATGAAATTTGAGCCTGAACACATAAGAAAATTGTTTAAATTGACTTCTAATTTTCTTGCCTCTGTGAATGGACTTCACTGTGATTACAACACGCTTTTAAACTATTATCTTCATGTTTAAGGTAGAAAGCGCACATTCTATATTTACATTGAGTTTAGCTCAAACATGCTTTTTGGTTGCAGATTGTGCTCTTTGTTAGAAGAGTGGAGATGTAGATCATGAAAATGAAATGCCTGCTCACATAGAAGAAAAACAGAGTGCTCCTGTCGAAATGGCACGACTGATGAATCGAGTTAATCTTGGTGAGCACTCTGTTACTCTTCCATTTCTTTGATACAAGTTAACGTGAAGGCCTATAGTGAGTTGGTACTTTGTTCAGCTTCATAGGAGGCACAAAATTGACTGTTCAGATATTTGGATTTATATATGTGGCAATACTAATTTGTTGAAGATATGGGAATGACTAAAGTCAGGGTGCTGCTCCCATTCACGTGTGGGTAGTTTGTATTTGCTCTGTACAATGTAAACACATGGACCCTAAGAGAAGGTATTAACTATACTTTGTTTCACTTGTGCTAGATTGGCTGCAATTGAAGAGATATGCGATTAATATGACTGCTAGAATGCAAATAAGGAATACTAAGGACCTAGAAAGCGTTGTTCTGTTAGTCAATCCTGCTAGGTTGGTATATTACATAAAGTAAGCTTTCATGAACTTGTGCTTATCGCTGCTTCCTCTAACATTTCTATTCTCCATTTCTATCCTTCTCAAACTAAAAGGAGGTTGGCCTCTGTTTCATTGATTGATGGGGAAAGATGAGAGGATGGGATGGCTATGGTAGCTCATTTGAGATAATTTGAAAAATGGAGGGAAGCAGGACTTACCAAAACAGGTTAATATGGTTCGGGTTTTGCTGTTTTTGGTTTGGATTTACCAATACATTTGGTTTCTTACTTCTTATGCTGTTGTCTATTTAGTGTTTTGTTATGTACTTTATTTAGCTTAATTGCATTTGAAAATTGATTTCGTGTTTGCCTAATTCAACTATCCATTTGTATCCTAAGTAATTCATTGGCACTGCTATATTTGAGATCATGTGTACACTATGAATCGATCAAGCTATCTGACATGCATTTCATACACCGTTCAACCATTGAGGGACAAGGTACAGGCTCTGGTGCTGATTTTTGCTTCTTCAGTGGATGTAGGTTTTGTTGTTCTTTTAGTCCATATAATGCAATAGCAACAAGCCTTTTGCTTTTCTATTTTGTTTTCTCCATCCTTTTAATTGCCTCCATTCTCCTTATTGCAGCACAGAAGTTATGTGAAAGGGCTAATCACAATGGTATCATTCACCATTCCCTTTATCAAATGGACCATGCCCCTTAACAATCAAAGGCTAGCCATGGAGTAGTTAAGAGGTCTGAAGTTGCAGTTCTGGACTGTGCTCTTTACAGCTACTTATGTTTGTAAGCTCTTATATAAAACATTGTGTTGATGACATAAATATTAAGGGGAAATTTTATGAAATGCTTGGTCATTTAGCTTTACTTGCAGAGATTTAGTTTCCAGATGAAGTTCTTTCAATTGATTTTGTAATCCCATATGTTGCATTCATTGCAGTTATAAAGGAATTGCTCATATTTAGTGCTTGATAACATGGGAAACAAGAGCTCCTCTATCCTGTTGTAGCAACCTTTGAGCCTTGGTAAGTGTTTCACCTCTGGGAGTGGGGTGATTAATTGGTTCGAGGTTGCTGTTTTTTTTTTTTTTTGTGTGTGTGTGTTAGTTGGTTCATAGATTCATTACCAAAAACATGTGCAGCTGTAAATTTATAATCTGTTGAAAGTAAGTTAGAGATCAGTTGAACTGATTGGTGCAAATGGTTAGAAAATGTACTTTTGGAGGCTTGCACTAGCAAATTTCATTGAGCCTAATAGTGAAATGATGTTGAAAGTTGAAACTCTTTTAATGCAAGTTCACTTTTGTTCAACATTTTGTGATCATTAACTCTGTTGTTTGAAATGTTATATGCTATTTGGAGGTGAAAATTAGTATAGATCTTTATTGTCGTGGGTCTCCAGGTTTAGTATGTTTAAAAGTTGCAGAAACATAGTTGTGATGCTCCTTTCCAGTTGTATGGATTGACGTGCCACCTCCTATCAATTCCTTCCGATTCATTCCATCAACTGCCACTCTTATATTCATGTGCCAAGTCTTACTTTTACGGGTGGCCTGATTAACTTTTAAGCATTGGTTCATCTCAACGTATTCCTACATCCCCTGTTTAGATTTCCCCACTCTCGGGATATACGTCTATCTCCCTCCGTTGTTTCCGTTACCGTTCTTCGAATCAAAAGCCCAAGTGTGGACTATTTCAATGCACTGCTATGTTATGTTTGAAACATTACTGCCTCTTCCATTTTCCTTTGTCATTATATCTTGGATTGGGAAGCTTAGCAGGCGTTTACTTTTTGCTATTTATTCATGCCGTTAGAGTTGGGTTTTTGGTTAGGATGTCTTCTTTTTTCCTAGGGTGAGATACAATTTTTGTTCCGATTTCTCACTTTTTGATTGTATGGGAACATATTAGAAACACACGTTTAACGCGAAGCGAAGCGAGCGGGTCCGTTCTAGTAGATAAATAAAGTGAGCAAGTAGTGTTGTTTACATTTCTAGTTAGTGTGTGAACTCACCATCTCGTCCAAGCGCTTGCTCCTCAGCCTGGCCAGTGGACAGTGTAAGTAACAAGGAAACATAAATGTTTTAAAAAGCTTTTCCTCTCCATTTCAATTATCACGTCTCAGTTGAAAGGTTAGCAAAGACACATGAAGTGTTACTGCTTTCAGGCAATTGGTCAGTTTCATTGCCATGGTAAGTTCACAGTTGAGTAGAAAGGGTACATACTGCAGGTGAGGTAACTGAAGATAATGAGAATAGTCTATCTTCAGGCTGAAACTTCTTAGACCGCTTCAAGCTGCAATCATCAAGGAAAGTTAGATGGATCGTAATAGCTCAATCACTAACGCGTAATCATAACACTCAGATATCATCCACCGATTAGCATGACATTTCTTCATCACACCTAGACAGGAATGACAAATCTGGTGACCATGTTTTTAACTGCAAAAGGCACTGTTTGCAGTGGGTTAGGAACGGAGAACTTAACCAAGAGCAAACCTGTAGTTCAAACTGGTCTGAGAAAAAAAGAAACAGTATGATTTAATCTAAACATCATTCAGTTTTAGTCATTCAAATTGACCATACACACTAATTCAGTTCTGCTTCGAAGGTCGTAATAAAGGCAGCCTATAAAGCTTGACCAGAGCAATTAAGCCATGCGAATCCACATCAAAATTGAAGTGAGAAAAGAAAAGAGTAAAACTGAGAAAGATAAAGACAAGTTGTAGGTAGGTGTAGAGAAACAGTTATGTAAACAGTCGCCCCATACAGTGCAGTGTTCTTAGATGAAGATAGGAATCCCTCGAAACCTTTCAATACATTGCCGCACTGGCTCGGATCCTGCAAGTAGCTGGTTTCCATGTCATAAACCTGTAAACCCATAACCAATATATCAGGCTCTTGCTGACAACAGGAGAGACTAATGACTACAAAGAAGCCCCATTGTGTTCCCTGTAACTTTTACCCAAGAGAACAATTAATGCTTCTACCCAACTCCAAACTCCTCATCAGAAGCAACAAAATTAGAGATAGAATCCATGCGTTTAAAAGCTGATCCTGATTATCCACCAGAGTGTTCTGGTTTCGGGAGAGAGTGATGCGAGTTCACTCGGCCAAAACTCTCCCAGAAGAATGAAGAAAGTAGCAAAAGGGGGGGGGGGGGGGGGGGGGGGGGATAAAGAACCTGTTTTTCGATGCTGAGAAGGGAACTGAGCATCGCAGAAGGATTGCACAAACATCTCGCAAGCTTCGGAAAAGGAAACGGGAACACGTTCTATTTCCTGTCTCCTAGAGTTCACATATTCGAACAAAATCGGCGCTAGAAGTGCCAAACTCTTATCCATTCTCGGCGCCCAAGGCATCGAATTAGGACAAACACCTCAGCCACCCAACATGGATGATTAGGGTGCACCATGGATGGACCATGATTCGCCTATTTGTATACTTTGGTTCAACCAAACAGAATCGGAATCGCTCCATGAAGCATGATACCAGTACTTAAAACTAGTCCACGAGTGCCCTAACCACGGACTTAGACGTGAAGTTCTAGATTACGCTATATGGGTGTAGCATCTGGAATAAAACTGTTGACACGTGTCATAATGGCAGGGTCTTGTTTCAACACTTGGGTGTGCCACACCAAGAAGTCAACCTCCTTGAGCAAAATATGACTTCCTATAGTGTCAGAAAAAACACAAGCTCGCTTAGGGGGCACTGGTTACTACAAAAGGAAAAGGGAAATGAAGGTGAAATTCATTTCCCGACCTTAGGGGTAGACTGGTATAAGATGCTTAAAGCTCGGCAGACAACACAGGCCCTGGTACGCCAATATACAACGTTAAGCATAGAGCTTGCCAAGACCAGGATACGCCATTATAGGTAGATAGAGCAAAGCGAGCTTAAATTTTATTCGAAGTACGATGCTAGGATAGCTTGCGCAAGCACAAATATTTTCTTATTTGCTTCCTAGCTTGACGTACTCTAACTGACTTATGAAAGAAGTTGGTGTTCGAATCTCCCATTGTAAGCCAATGGAATAGAGAGGAATTTTACAATGCTATATAGCATTGGTGCTATAGGTTTTTGTCTTTATGGTACAACTTGAAATTGTACCTTTAATGTTATAAATAACTTCAAATTATACTTATACTTTTTGCGCAAATTCTTTTATGGTACAACTTGAACTTGTACCTTTATGTGATGGTACAACTTCAAGTTGTAAAGTTGTACCATAACATAATGGTACAAATTCATTTATGGTACAACCTAAACTTATACATTTATTGTTATGGTACAACCTAAAATTGTACATTAAAGCACCAATACTATATAGCATAGTAGAAGTGCTCATGGAATAGGATGCGTTGGGGAGGGGTTACGGTGGATACTTAGTCTTAGTAGCCACGGTGGTTACTAGGGATAACATGAGTATTTTGCATCCTTCCTAATATTAACTGCCATTTTAATAACGCAATTAATTAGGGAAAGAGGAGAGATCATTGCGGAAACTAAGGGGTCGTTTGGAAGTTGTGATTTCAAATGATATATTGATCTAATTCATGTATTTGTGAGATTAAGTCGTTTTTTTGTTTGTTTATATAGAACTAGAATACATGCATTTACTTTTTGGAGGCCCCACCACAATCACTCAATATTGAGGGATTTACAATCTCTACTTTTTGTTGAGATTCTTCACAATCACTCAATACTAACTTTTTTACCTTTGAGACAAAAACACAATCTAAACCTCCAAACAAGATATTTACCTAATACATCAATTGAGTGATTGGTATTTTTATTATGAGATTCACGTACATGTATACGATTGTATAGGTATTTTTATTATGAGTAGCATTTTAAAATGGTATTCAAATATTGACGATCGTGTGGTGTCGCGTTGGATTGGTATTCATGTACGTGATGTCCATTAATGGATGTTATTGATTTCGTATTGGTTGCATCTTGTCATATTTGCATCAAATGGTAATGATTTGTTAGTGGTAGTATGAGCTAACCATCACATGAAAAGCTAACCACTACCATTACATATAACACACTACCATTGCAAATATACCACACTGATCACTACCATTCCACACCAAACATCACAGGGATGCAGATCACTACCAATGCATTAAAAGGTAACCACTATCGTTACATAGAACACCACATTACCATTGCAAAGATACCACACTAATCACTATCATTCCACACCAAACATCAAAGGATACCAAACAACCTAAAAGCTAGATCACTACCAAAATTGACCACTACCATTCAGTACCAAATGACCAATAATATGCCAATCCACGCCAAACAAATGAACACGATCACAAAGATACAAAAACAAAAAGGGAGCCGAAGGAGGTAAAATGAACGTTGTCGGTGCGTCGTCTGAGTGGGAGGAACTGGAAATAAAAGGGAGCTACCGAGGACCCTCGCCGATCCACCAACAGAGAAACAACCACTCGTCGGCCCAAAAGGAGTGACTGCGGCGACCAGACAGAAAAGGTCTCCCGCTGTGCCGGAGAGAGACGAAAAACGACGAAAGAGAGCCTGCAACGACGGTAATAGCAAAGGGCTTCGTTGAAGAATCTTGTGCATTAGGTTTATGGCGGAGGGAGAGAGGGTAACGGAAGAACGTTGCCGGTGCATTAGGGTTATGGCGGTTGCACAGGGGAGAGACGAGAAACGACGGAAGCGAGCCAGCGGCGCCGGAGATAGAGTGCGGCGCCGGAGAGGGGGTAACGCCGGAGAGAGAGGACGGCGGCGGGCATCAAATCAGAACAGAGGATGACTATTCCGAGTATACGATTTATCCGCTAGGAGAAGGACATGATGATCTGATCCCTGGTCCGTAAAGTGTTTGACCAGAGTTTCCGGAAAAGTATCAATCCAGGATTGGGAACAAAGGGCCCTATCCAGACGTTCACGAATGCACGCTGAACTTATACGCTTGTTCATCCAAGTGAATTGATCCCCTTGGAAACCAGGGTCATGGAGCCCCAAATCATTAACAAAATCTCTGAGACTAATGGCTTGTGCAACATTCCAAGCCCGACCCCCATCCTTTTCACCCTCATAGAGAGTAGTGTTGAAATCACCTATGATCACATAAGGGTGATTGATATTCGCGCAAACGGTTCGAAGATGAGCTAGTTGAGTAGCTTTAAGAGCAACATTACAACTAATATAGACAAAGATAACCACATAAGAAAAATCTCCTTCATTAATTTGCGAACAAATAAAGAAATTGGAATGGAAAAACACCGAAGCATCAACCCCGGGGGACCAAGCAACTACTAAACCACCCGATGCATCAACTGCATCTTCAAAGAAACAATGAGAAATAGCAAAACCTAAACCCCGCATACGACGGGATACTACATGCCGGTTCGATCGCGTTTCAGAAAAAAAACACGAGATCTGGTTTATTGAAATGAACAAGCCCTACAGCAGTTTGGAAAGTGATGGATGGCTCAATTCCTCTCACATTCCAGGCCAGAATCCTCATTTATCGGTCCGGGACCACTCGAGGCTGGCTTCCTCCACCTTATCCAAACCATCAGCTGATTCCACAAACTGCTTCTTCGGAGTGGGGGGTACCCACCTCCCCTTCCATCTCCTCAAGCACTCGTTTTCGTTTTTCCATGATGGGGTCCATTAGATTAGACCCGTACTCATTTAGCCTCGAATTGGATCCTTTGCCTGAAACAGCCTCCTCCTGAGCAATGACTAGCCCCGCTTCAAACGCTTCCACCACCTGGTGTACCCGCCCTTTCATAGCTTGGCGCATGTTTATAACTGGGGATCGTCTCTTGATTTCAAAAGAGTGGTTCTCCTCGGCCGACTGATCGCCATCTGATTCAGTGACAGGTCGATGATCCTCAGAAATAGGGCCACCCATACTAGAAATTTCCTTGTCCTCCAGGTCAAACAGTTCACCATGAGGAGTAACTCCCTCATCCCGCTAGGGTAGGGTGAGAGAGCCATATGCTTCTCCTTTCCTCAAACGCGGGCGAACCCGAGGTGCCGAGCCCCCAGGCTGGGTTGCAACCCTGGCGAGAAACCGAGGATCCACGAGTGGCGTCTTCCTGGGGTTATCAGTAGTACCTGACGAAGCACGTGACTTCGTAGAGTGGATAGGCTTCTCAACCGTGGCCTCATCCTCCTCGGATTCCTCCTGCAAGATCAGCCTACGTCTTCGCGATTGCTCGAGAGCTTCCACCACATGATCCGCCACCTGCTGACGCTGTGGAACCTGCCTGGCGCGCCGACCAGGCTGCTGTCTCCCCTTAGTACCCTGCCGAGGAAGAGGTGCAGCCTTCCCTGGTGACACCTTATGTTGTTGCCGAACACCCCCACCAATCTTTACCCGAGGTGACGTCTTGAAGACAAACCTTTTAGGGCTAGCACGACTCCCAGCTGGTTTGTTATTAAGGTCGTGTCACCTAGGCTGCATCTCTAGTCCATTTTGGACTTCCATCTCACCAGACAGAGGATGATCTGTCCCTTGAACATGAGAGCGGGGTCAGCCTCTCTAGATCGCCGAAACGAAACAAATGAGCATCGACCTCAATCTCCAGCCTTTTGTGCAACTTCCATTTCTATTGTTTTTGCGTTTTACAATTATTAATGAAAATACTATGGTGCAGTTACTGCACCTGTGCCGACAGTTAATCTGACCAGTTTGGTATTTGGTCCAAATTAGTATGAACGGGTGCTGGTACGACACCACAAAATTCCAATTTAACCAAGCTCTTTATAGATGATATACGGTCAAATATCGTTCGGAACAGAAATTATGATAAGAAAACTTTTCGAGGTTTCCCAACAGAATCAAAAGGTACAAATTTTAAAACTGAATTTTACAAACGGCCTATAAACCCGACTTGCTCAATCAAACTAGGGATATTCTAAGACTAATAGTCTAGTACTCCAATATTTCTTTAACCATAACGTCCTGGTTCTCCTAATTAAGCAATTGTGACAGTAGTCCTATTCCCATTAGAAGCTGCAGCCTCGTCTTCCTCGTTTTCTCCGGACATCTCTTCCAGCGACTTCCCCTTGGATTCCGGCACCAAGAACGTAAACAGAAGCCCCAGCAAGTTGACGAATCCCAACACAATGAGCGAATTCTTCACCCCAATCCCCGCAGGGTACCCTGCATCCGCCTTGGACTTGTCCTTGTTCTGTGCCAGATACAAGAATCCGAACGCCCCAACCATCGCTCCAAGCTTCCCTGACGCCGACGATATCCCGTGGCACGTCGACCTCACCCGCGCCGGGAATATCTCCGCGGGGACCACGAACGTCGTCGCGTTGGGTCCGAAATTCGCGAAGAAGAAGGTCAGCGAGTACATCACCACGAACCCAATCCGATTCTCCTTGTGAGTCCAGTGGTCGTATGGGATCGCCAGAGCAAACATGAACACGGTCATGAAGAAGAACCCCATCAGCTGGATCGAGAACCTCCCAATCTTATCGATCAGCGCCACCGTGAACCAGTAACCCGGCACCGTGCTGCAGAGCGCGATCAGGGTCTGCGCTCTGGCGATTCGGAACACTTCCTCGGTCGCGTTCATCGTCTCGGCCTGCGGGATCCACCCGATCGCGCTGAAGATGTCCTTCTGGAACAGATTCTGGCTGTAGAAGGCGATGTCCAGCAAGAACCAAGTCGTCGTCGTCCCCAGCAGGTGGGTTCCGTGGCGGCGGAGGAATTCCTTGGAGAACAGTCCGTACGCGGTGGCCTCGTCCTCCGCAATTCGCTCCACTTTGTGCTCCTCTGCTTCAATTTCTTGCTGCAGAACTTTCGCCATGTCGTCCGCAGCCTGCTTCGCATCCTTGGCCACGAGCGCAGTGAAGCGGGCGGTTTCCGGCATCTTCATCCTCGAATAGTAGGTGAGCCCTGCGGGCAGAGCACCCACCATTAGAATGATCCGCCACACGTAATCCGCCTGCGGGGGTGTCGAGGCGTCCGCATCGTCTCTGTAAGCCGGAGCTTTGAACCTGGCGTTGAACGAGGTGGAGACGACGATGGCAAACAGCCCGCCGGCGAGGATGCCGAAGCCCTGCATCGCGAACACCGCCGCGATGAAATCTCCCCTGGTCTTCTTGTTGGCGTACTCAGACATTATGGTGGCGGAGAGCGGGTAATCGCCGCCGATCCCGAACCCGAGCCAGAATCGGAAGAAGCAGAGCGTGGTGATTACTGCTTTGGGGTCTTTCCCCATGGAGAGCCCCGACGCGACGGAGCAGATCACCATGAGCATCAGCGTCATGCCGTAGACTTTCTTCCTGCCGAGTTTGTCGCCCAGCCAGCCGAAGAAGAGCTGGCCGGCAAGGGTGCCGCAGAGTGCCACTCCATTCACGGCTGCGGAAACGCCCGGGGGCAGAATTCCGGGCTTCAGAGCACCTTCGTGGTGGTAATAAATGCGACCCAGAAGCTTGGTGACGAGGGAGATGCAGAAGAGATCGTAGGCGTCCGTGAAGAAACCCATCCCGGCGATGATGACGGCGGTGAAGTGGTACCATTGTGTTTTGGCTGAGTCAAGCGCGTTCAGGACCTGCAATTGATCTTTCCCCATTTTCAAGGTTTAGCCACAAGGTGTTTGCTGAAATTTGAGGATGAGGCCGGCGGGGTTAACGACCATCAAACAAAATATATATAGTTGCGAGGAAACCAAAGCAGGGAGCCGGGGAGAATCGTTCGATTCACTTATTAACTCCATCTGCTGGACTTTATTCGGAGAAGAAGAACGGTGGGATATAGGGGAGCGGTTGTGCTAGAGCTAGAGTAAGAACAAACAGTAGCATATATGTCATTCCGGAGAAAGATGGTCTTGCTGTTTAATGAGTTTTAACTGTAAAATAATCAAGTGTCATTTGTTTGTTATGTTGAGACGGCTTTGTGCTGGTTCTGTTGTGGATTGTACACAAAATGGTACAAATGTAAACAAGTGAGGAGTATGCGTTTGTTGTTCTCGTTGGTATTAAATGTAAACAAGTGAGGAGTATGCGTTTGTTGTTCTCGTTGGTATTAAATGTAAACAAGTGAGGAGTATGCGTTTGTTGTTCTCGTTGGTATTAAGGAGTGATTTGTTAAAATTAATATTTAATGAGTGTATTTATAGACTGCAACATTTTATTGGTCTATGCTATTAAATCCCAGCTCAACTCATGTGAAGTGATCCGATTCCGAGATACCCAAACATGTACCTCCTTTATCTTATTTTCCCGCGACGAAATTTTACAATGCTATATAGTATTGGTGCTATAGGTTTTTGTCTTTATGGTACAACTTGAAATTGTACTTTTAACGTTATGGTACAACTTCAGATTGTACCTATACTTTTTATACAAATTCTTTTATGGTACAACTTGAACTTGTACCTTTATGTGATGGTACAACTTCAAGTTGTAAAGTTGTACTAACATAATGATACAAATTCCTTTATGGTACAACTTAAACTTATACATTTAATATTATGGTACAACTTCAAGTTGTACATTAAAGCACCAATACTATATAGCATAGTAGTAGTGCTCTTTTCCCGCGGCTGCGAGTTCATCATCTTCGACAATAGCGACCCTTGTCCTACGCGTGTTGCCCTGCCAATTCTTCGACAAAGTCGTGGCATGAACCATAAGTTTTGATCAATTCATTCTTCAATTGGAAGTCTTGCTCTTTTTCTGGGTTGAGTCTGCATGTTGAGTTACTCTGTTGCTGTTCTTGAGCTTGGTTTCACGGTTTGATCCGCAACCCGACCAACCCGAACCAAATTTGCCCGCAACTCGATCAACCCGCAACCCGGTCAACCCGAACCCGCATGACCCGCAACCGGCTTGACTCGCAACCCGATTAACCCGCAACCCAATTGAACCCGACCGGAACCCGCCCGATTGACACCTATAGTTGGAGGCGTGAGGAGTGCAGAGTTGACGAAGATTGGTTGTTGCAATTATTTTTATTATTAGTTTGTTTTCAATTACTTTTAGTATTTTGTTTAAGTCCTAAACACAATCGGATAGGGTAGTCCTAAACACAATTGGATAGGGTAGTTGAGTTTGTCTATTTAAGGCTTTGATTGTTGTAGGAAGAGGGCAACTATTATTCGAAATCAAAACTAAACCTAAGGGTTTGCTGTTCCCAGTGGATTCTGGATTTTCTTTCCAAGCTTGTAGCTGGCAAGCTTATACGTTCTTTAGAATTCAAGCGTTGATTGAATTGGTGTGGTTTCCGACTGCGTCAGGTGGTATCAGAGCAGGCTTTCTCCTGTCTCTTTTCTAAGCTTGACTTCATGGAGGTACCTGAAAGTAAGCAAATTAAGATGGTGGCTGTCAGGTTGAAGAGCACTGCAGCTGTGTGGTGGGATAAACTGGTCGTCCAACGACGACGCCAACGAAAGGCTCCCATCCGATCATGGAGGCGGATGAAACAGCTAATGATGGAGCGTTTACTTCCGAAGGATTACGAGCAGATTCTATACAAGATGTACCTTGATTGCGTGCAAGGAAGAAGAAGTGTTACTAAATACACCACTGAATTCTTGCGTTTTGCTGAACGCAATGAGTTAGGAGAGACGGAAGGACAAAAGGTTGCTCGATATATCAATGGATTGAAGGGCTCGATCCAGGAGAAGAGGGGGTTATAGACTGTTTGGACCGTATATGAAGCTTCCACGTTGGCACTGAAAGCTGAACTAATGGAGAAGACTACTAAATCCTTCCCACCTTTCCGCCGTTTCCCACCAGCGGGAATCACTGAGATCGCACCTGACAGAGAAAAGGTTGTCGGTTCTCAAGATCCCCACCTAGCTGGGAAGGTAAACAATGGAGCTGGAAGTTCCAACGCGAATAAAGGGCCACCCGTGACGTGAGAGCTCCAAATCCGTACGCTAAGCCAGCGGGAGATAAGTGTTACCGTTGTGGAGGACAAGGACACCACTCTAAAGTGTGCCCGACCTGAAAGACGACAGTTATCGTGACGGATGAATTGGAAGAAGGGGATGAAGGAGGTGAGTACGAAGGTGTGGAGTTTGCAGAAGGGGATGAACGAGACTTGGGTATCGTTGTGGGAGTTGGGAGAGTGGTTGAGTCGGTATCTAACATGTATTGAGAAGTCGGCTGGTTCCACGTAGGGATGTCAATGGGAGGGGTTTGGCTAACCATCCCCATCCCCGCTTTCAAATATCTAAACCCATACCCACCCCATATCCATGGGGAAGAAGGTTTTGTAAACCATCCTCATACCTGTGGGTTTAAGGTACCCATGGGTAATACATTCCTGTACATGCAATATTATAATACCTAGAATTTACTTTAAAATTTTCAATTATAATATTAAACACACCTACTATATCATGAAGTCGACAAAGTGACAATCATCTAATATGGTTCAAGGCATCTTATCCTGAAACATCAATTTATCAATAAGATAGAGTACAATGTAATACAAATCATTATTCTCTATCTCTAATACATCTACTAAGAAATACGTCTAACTAACATAATACAATCTTGTTAATACGAGAGAAAAAGTGAAGGAGTGAAGGGAGAGTTGAAGAAAATGAATAAGGTTTTGATTTAGATGGCCACTCAATTGCAATTCTACTAATGATTTTGTTGAGTTACCCTCACTATAATTGATAGATTACTATTTGATCCATGTATTCTTAATATGTGAACAAATATTATTGCTCGGGCGGGTATGGGTATGGCAATGGGATGGGGGAGGCTAAAACCATACCCCTATACCCATAAAATATTTTGCGAGTTTTACCCATACCCAGTTAAAGCGGGAATTCCCCGGTTTGACTGGGTTGGGGGCGGTCAGGTACCCACGGTCATGTGCTTGATTGTCATCCCTAGTTCCACGGTTTTATACGGTAAACCGTGGTGTAGGTCATACTAGACCAAGAGATTAAAACATCATATAATACAGACCATGAACCAGACTAGACCATACTTAACGATCTACGGTCCAGATCAAACTGTATGGTCCGATTTGGACCATGATTTTTCAAACGGTTCAGTCTATTTTCCCGGCCCCTTCCTAGTGGGTCGCAACATTAGAGTGATTACTTATAAAAAAAAATTGAATCAATTCTATTATTCTACGTACCAAGTAGGCAAGTACCAACGTCAGAGCGCAAACCATTTACCTAAATATATAACACACCACAACTACAAAACACTCCAACTTTAAACACTTCGATCTCCCCGTATGTTAAAAGAGAAATCGCTACAAATGAAAATTTGCTAGCCTACTACAAAACCCAAAGAGCATAAGCTAAACGTCAAACCAAAGAGGAAGGGAACAAACAGCACACACAAAGGACACATACTACATAACTTACTCAAACCCGGGCATTTTCAAGTTATTCCCCTCCATAAGCATATCTGTTTTCTTAACAAAAAGCTCAAATTCACTCACTGCAACAAGATCCGTACGTGTCTACAACTAGAACTGAAATAATGATCTAATTAAGGTTGGTTCCGCCTAATTAAGCGACTGTTACCGGAACAGTCCTATTATCATTGTTGGAAGCTGCTGCAGAAGAGTCATCCTCCTCCTGCTCCCCAGACATCTCCTCCAGCGACTTCCCTTTGGATTCCGGCACCAAGAACGTGAACAGCAGCCCCAGCAAGTTGACGAACCCCAACACAATCAGCGAGTTCCTCACCCCGATCCCGGCCGGGTAACCTGCATCCGCCTTGGCCTTGTCCCGATCCTGCGCCAGGTACAGGAACCCGAACGCCCCCACGATCGCCCCGAGCTTCCCGGACGCCGCCGATATCCCGTGGCACGTCGACCTCACCCGCGCCGGGAATATCTCCGCGGGGACCACGAACGTCGTCGCGTTGGGACCGAAGTTCGCGAAGAAGAAGGTCAGCGCGTACAGCACCACGAACCAGATGCGGTTGCCGCTCTGCTTCCAGTGGTCGTACGGGATCGCCAGCGCGAACATGAACACCGTCATGAAGAAGAACCCGATCAGCTGGATGGCGAACCTCCCGATCACGTCGATCAGCACCACCGTGAACCAGTACCCCGGCACCGTGCTGACCATCGCGATCAGCGTCTGCGCCCTGGCGATCCTGTACACCTCCTGGATCGCGTTCATGGTTTGCGGCGGCGGGATCCACCCCACGGCGCTGAAGATGTCCTTCTGGAACAGGTTCTGGCTGTAGAACGCGATGTCCAGCAGGAACCACGTCGTGGTGGTCCCCAGCAGGTGGGTCCCGTGCCGCCGGATGAATTCGCGGGAGAAGAGGCCGTAGCCCTGTTGTTGTTGTTGTTGGCGGCTCCTCGCAATAATCTCCTCCTCCTCCGCCGCCGCCGCCGGCTTCTGCTCCTCGATCTCCGTGTCCAGCACCTTGGCCATGTCCTTGTTGGCGCGGCCGACGTCCTTGGCGACAAGGGCCGTGTACCTTGCGGTCTCCGGCATCTTCATCCGCCAGTAGTACGTCATCAGCGCCGGCAGAGCGCCGACCATGAGGATGATCCGCCAGACGAAGTCGGCCTGCGGGACGGTGGAGGCGGCGGGGTCGACCGCGTAGGGCGGGGCGCTGAACCAGAAGTTGAAGGCGGAGGAGATGATGATTGCGAAGACGCCGCCGGAGAGGATGCCGAACCCTTGCATCGCGAAGACGGCGGCGATGAACGCGCCGCGCGTCTTCTTGTTGGCGTACTCGGACATGATGGTGGCGGAGAGCGGGTAGTCGCCGCCGATCCCGAACCCGAGCCAGAAGCGGAAGAAGCAGAGCGTGGCCATCACGGACTTGGGCTCGTGCCCGAACGAGAGGCCCGACGCGACGGAGCAGATCACCATCAGCATCAGGGTGAGGCCGTACACCTTCTTCCGGCCCAGCTTGTCCCCGAGCCACCCGAAGAAGAGCTGGCCGGCGAGGGTGCCGCAGAGCGCGACGCCGTTGACCGCGGCGGCGACGTTGGGCGGGAGGGAGCCCGGCTTGGGGGCGCCGTCGACGTGGTAGTAGATGCGTCCGAGGAGCTTGGTGACGAGGGAGATGCAGAAGAGATCGTAGGCGTCGGTGAAGAATCCCATCCCGGCGATGATCACGGCGGTGAAGTGGTACCACTGCGTCTTCGCCACGTCCAGGGCGTTCAGAACCTGCAAGTCCCCCGCCATGGCTCAGGACCTCTGACCTGTTTCTGCCACCACCAATAATTAATTAATTAATTAATTAGCACTAGTGTCACGAGTTGGGATTCGAATTTGGAATTCCGTTACGAATGGGAGTACTTACTGAGGTTGCCTAGTATTTGGCTACTATTTACTATTTCCTATTAATAGAAAATCAAAATTTGAGACGTAGATAAATAGAAAGTATAACAGAAGACGAGATTTTTAGGGGATTGAGATGAGATATTGAAGGGGTCAACTCAAGTAACTAAAATCAGGCCAGCTAAGCAAGACCTTGATCCTACAATAAAGGCTAAATATCTCCAGGAATTTATCGAAATTATGGATTTTTATTATTGAAAGAAAATTAAATATGGAGAACAGATGGATAAGAATTAGCTTAGCGTGTTTGCAGACGTGGTATCGTCGTCTTAAATGTTACACTTTCTATTGGGATTTTTTCAGCAATCAATCAAAATCGGAAAATTGTCATTTATCTGTTGTTGTTGTTGCATTAATTGCACCCATTCATGCATGTTCACAAGTGTAACAACAACAGCCTCTGCCTGCCTTAGCTTGTATATCTTCCTTTGTGTTACAACAAGAGATAAACCCAAAATTTTGGACGAATCGTTTAAGGAACGCTGAATTAATTCACCTAAAAAATTGAAATCACAGCTTTTTTCACACGCTTGCAAAATCCGGAATATTAATCTGAAAAAGCAACAAGAGAAATGAAAGAGAGGGAGAAGAAGGAAAAAAAAAAAAAACCGTGGCCAGAGACAGCGGCACCTTTTTGCATGCAAACAACTAATTTTACATAATTAAACACACACAAGCCAATCCGAACAGGAATTAAGGAGGAGGAGGACTGTGAAATCAAATATACCTGATGAGACAGAAACAAAGCTGGCCTGGTCACCGCGCCGGAGAGGGAAACAGACGATTGATATGAATATATACGGTTCCACCGGAGAAGGAAGGAAGTGGTAGTGGGAAAGCAGAGATCAGCAACAAACAATGATAGGGAATTTTTTTTTTTACTGTGTATGTGTATATGTATTCTCTCTTGTTTTTTGAAAGCAGTTTCGTACGTGTTTGCTATTACTACGCGCTCTCTCGATCAGTCTGTTTATACGGAAATGTTGTTGTTGTGGGAGGAAGAAGGAGGGAGGTGCAGCAGATCAGATTTAACAGAATGCAGAGTGGGTGTCCCGATCCCCGGAGGCCCGTATTTATAGCCCTTTCTTGGCCTTTTGGCGGATTCTCTCCTCTTCTCTTCTCTTCTCTTTACACGGCGACTGTTGTATTGTTACGTGATGCGTTTCTTTTAATTATGTATATAAATTAATTAATATGATTGCTGGACTGGAGAGAATAAATAAAGGAGAGAAAAGGGAAACAAAACTCACACTCCTACATCTCATACAAAAATCCTTGTTTCCCCTGTTTTCAGTTGCGGAGTGTGGTTTCTGTTGTTGTGGTGCGCGGAGATTATTCCTAGGTATATTCCAATCCTCCGCACTCAGCGCGCTGCCTTTTCGGCAACGTACCTTCTCCATTTGCTTCCGTCCGTCCGTCCGTCCATCCTCGGTCAACTGGCTCTATCATTACCGCACAAACAAAACACCCACTACGACGCCGCTTTCATTATTGCCTCTCATCTTTATTATATTTACTAAATAATTTGAAGAGATCTGCTTTTGTTGCCACCCCACTAACAACTAACAAAGGTCCGCCTGATTGCTTATGCTACAGAGATATGCCACCTTTCTTGATTTGATAATAGCGTGCATTTCGGGGGAAACGCGGGGGGAAGATTTCATTTTTACACACCGCAGAAACGGATCCTGGTGGTTCAACTATGGTTACAAAACATCGCCCCTTAAAAAGATTCTACCTAACTTTTCACGTGTTTGAAAGGTTTCTGAATCGTGTTGGGTTCAACTTACTCGAGTATTTGCATCACTGCATTGATGGGTGCTTTTTTGTTGGGGACATGAAAAGAGGCCCAGTAAAGAGGCTTAGCCGGCCCGAAATATAGGCCCAACAGTGGGGAAATCCGGCCCGAAACAAAAAGTCGCGGCCTAGTGACGCGACTTGAAGTATGAGAGCAGATGGTTCATTTCAAATATCAGACGCGGCATGCTCGTAAATGTGGAAGTGGTTATTTTGGCTGTCTATGTTAGCCCCAACGCAGCAATGAGACAAGAGCTCTGGGACAGGAATCACCGCATTGGCTTCCCAGACTCTTGAACCTTGGTTGTCGGTGGGTGATTTCAACTCGATCCTCGGTCCGGGACTCAATCGATGGCCAAGTATAACAAATGACTAGGTGTAGAATGGGGAAAGTATTTAATTGTCAACCCGAGCTAGGTGGTCCATGTACCCCTACTTCAATCGTTTTTAAATTTTTATCTAGCGAACGGTTTGGAGTTAAAGCTAAAGAACTACAGTTGAAAGCATGCAAGCAAGAAAGTAAATTGTGATGAATTTGATGTGAGAAAACTTCACTCGGTATTGCTCCCCCTAGTCTCGTGTCAAGGTCAACCAAATGAAACTCTAGTGTAGAAAGTAGTGTTCATATACTGTGAGGAAGGTGCAATTAGTAGGGAGACCCCACTCTCTTAGTCGATTAACCGATGATTGTCACAATAAGCTAGGAAGCTAACTCTGATCTTGACTAATCGACTAATAATTGCCAAGACCACTCCAGAAGCTAATTCAGAACGGGAAAAAGTAACCAATCACGATACATTCATGGAACTAATTCGATGTTTGAGGCATGTCCTTAATTGCCCAATTGGCTATGAAACCTGGCTTATTATGGTCCACAGGGGATTTCCTCCACCTAGGTCAATTTGACATAACTTTGAGATATGAAAAAAAAAACACTCAAGAATCTTAAAAAATACCTCAAACATTATATTAAACACAAACCCATCACACATAGAGTTCAATTCCTACCATCTAACACATCCTAGACTAGGGTTCACAATACCCGAGTGAATTGGGGAACTACTCCATGAGTAAGAAGAGGAATACATCAAAGATGGAGGAATACATAAAAACAAGCCTTCGTAGCAACTTCGACCCTTTTTATTGAAGCCTTACAGATATCTAATCTTTCATCCAATGCCTTTTTATTTGATGAGGAGGAGAAGAAGGAGATGGCACCACGAGAGGAGGGAAGTGATTGCGATGAAAAAAGGAATATGAGGGGGAAAAATCCGTCGTCTCCTCAGCGCTCCGTCGTCTCCTCGCCAGCGCTTCGTCTGTCTCCTTTCAGCGCTCCGACGTTTCCTTCTCCAAAAGCCCCGGCCTGGGAATGCACGGCCGGGAGCGACGCTAGCTTTTTCCGGCTTTCACATGACGAAGGACGAAGCCGGCGCCGTTGATTTTGGTTCTGTGGTGGGCGATGGGTTTGGTTTCGCCGGAGGAGGAGAGGGCTTCTTCTTTGAGGGAGGAATTCGAACGGGGAGAATGGGTGGAAGAGAATGAAGAGAGAGTGAGTGATTAGATAATGTGTTGATTTCCCCCTTTTTTATTTCATTTTTCCATTAATTTTAATTAGGTGCCACAACAGAAAAAATGTGTCACGTGTACAGTTTCTTTCCACGTCGGAGTCAACTGACGACTGACCAGATGGAGAGTTGACGATTTGGCTAATAAAATGTTTTCGAAAAGGTTTGGCTATTATTTTGTTTTTCGGGCGAAAGGTTTGGCTATTAAATTGTTTTTACCCAAAAAGTAAAGCTGCATTGTTTCCAAGAATGACAGGTGGAGTTGTGTGTTAAGTAACCCTAGATGGATGACTCTCTCTGATGTAGTTCTACAGGAACAGAGTAATAAGAGCATATTCTTGCTCACTTCCCCTCTGCAGCTGGTTGACTCTTGCTGGCTTCTTCATGAAAGGGATTGATCATGACGACGATGGCGGCGAGAGAGGTCTCTTTAATTGAAAGGGAAATGAACCCACGTACCATTTTGTTGTTATCTCAAGACTTATTTTCCTACTAACAGCAAACCAAGAAGCTAGCTATAGCTGTACTGCAGCAGAATTAGGTAAAGGGCATTGATTATTATCACTTCATGAGCAACGACGGCATATAGCCAAAGGACACACTTGAACTAAGCGTTAACTAGGTCTCTGGCTAGATAGCTAGGCTTGCTTGCTAGCTAGCTGCAGATAAGAATAGGATAAACAAGGGTTCACTTTGATCCGAATTTTTCTAGTTTAATCGATTTGTATTTACTTTTTTTTAATCGAAATTTTGAAATTTTTTGCACAAATACGACGAGTTAACTTTGATTTAAAAAGTTATATATATTTATATATTTCGAGAAAAAGCCCGTTACCACTATGTATCACTTTCGTTTTAACTCAAATTTTGTTTTTTTTTTTTTTTTGCATAAAAGGAACGGGTTCATCATAATTTATATGTATTTCTGCAAAAGTATGAGATCAAATAACCACTCAGGTATAAGATGGTAAATAATGATATTTCCAAATATATAAAAGTAGATGTTATTTTGAAGAATCTAATTAATCTTTTTCATAATGTGTATTATGAATCAAAGTGAAAAAGATATAGCTCCTAACATTTTAATTGGGAAAAATAAGCATACGTCAATAAACATTGGTTACTAACGAGATTCAAACCCACGTTTATTCATTTTACTTATAAAGATATAGTTTATAGTAAAGTGGTTTACTAGGTACGGATAGGTAAGGTAATAAACAAGCCGGCCTGAAATTTTTTAGACCATGTTCTGGAAATAAAATGAGGCTCAAAGTTTATTTTTATAATTTAATAAAATATAAAATAAAGTATAGCAGAATTAATCAATTAAGAGAAAATGAAACCAAACAATAAGTTAATTGACAACTAGTTAATTCACAAACTAGACCTAAATATGTTTTGGGAGAAGAATTTTAGAAGAGTTAGATATCATATACAGTATAACCTCTTTAAATTGATATCTATAAATTAATAATTTCTCTG